TTGATATGTGTGATTGCTACTGAATGAAAAAGAAATAGAATGGATGGATTAACGATGTTAGTTAAATAAAAAAATTATAGACTACACTTGCATGACCAGGCTAACCTGGGATGTCGGTACAATCAATAAATTTATTTGCCAGTCGAATTGAACCAGGTTGCGCTATTGTCCAGCTCTAAGATAAATTTTTAAAACGGCCACAAAGATCATAGATTCCGAAAAAGAGAACACTGAGGATACATTGTAGGATAGTGAGGTGGTGCCAATCATGTGAACAGGGAGAAGCAACTAGAAAATACAACTCCTAGAATCATCAAACAAAAGTGGCAGAATATTAAAATTCACTTTTCATCATCGCATCCACTAAGGCAAGGGCAAGCAAGATTTCTTGCACTTCTTCGCTAATTCCCTGAATTTACAGAAGAGTAACTTCAAGTTTTCATCGGTCTGAAATCTGTTTTCGGCTCTTTAAGCACATCCGAATATTTAGTGAGAGGTGTGTTCAATAAATAATGCTAAAATGACAAAGTTTGTCATCTAATTGAAAAACTGCACACCAAGATCATAAACTGAGAAAAGGCTGATAAAGAAATGTGTGGCAGCACTTAACATTGATCATCGATTTGTGTATCCGAAACACTATATGGCCACAAGATATACTATGATTGATGTAATATTTTCAAATCAAAGTATGAGAATACATGAAAAAGTATAATTATCAATGTCCACTGCAAGGGAGAATAGAATAATAAAAAATGAGTAATGTTTAACTTTCAGCCATAAGTTTATAAACAAATTAGATTTTATTTATAAACGATCAACCAGAAACAATAAATTAGCTTGGTTGCTATTCTGCCAGTTCCATACCTTAACATGGAATCTGCAGGACCTCAGATATTTTTAACCCTGACTGTGGGATCAATGAATACCAAATTAACAGTTTATTGTAAATAAAGAAATATTCATGTTGGCAGAAACTGCAATTTCACAGGGAATATTTTTAACGAATTTTGTGTGTAAGGTTAGATGGCTAATAAAATAGGCAATATAGCAGTTATTTTTCAGACAATATCCAATTCCAGATTAACTTTTATGATGACAACATCCAGCAGAAAGAACTGTCGTGCTTTTTAGAATCACATTATTTGACAAGCATGATCTTCGCCTGTTTTTTTATGATTGGTTTTTGCAATTTCCTTCCAGTTTTTTCTATACAGGCAATATAGCTGTGCTGATGTAACCCCAAAACCTTTCCATTTCATGATAAAAAAAAACAAGCACATTTGAAAGGGACATGTTTAAAGTTCAGAAATCTCACTAACTGATTTGCCACAACAGTAGCATCCTACATCTTCACTCTGCTCAGTGTGTGTATTCTTATATTCCTCTCTGAGCAGCAGTGTGACATCATTGCTTCACTTTTTGCTGATGGTACAGTTCGACCACCTAGTCTGTGACCATGAGTGCAAACATGCATGCACCATTTGGACCAAATTATTCTTAAAATAGGGTGCAAGGATTGGAACTTTATTTCCTTCGAGCATATAAATTCTCTCTTTCTGAAGAAAAGATTTTCACATAACCTTTCACATTACAGCAAGTAATAACGCCCATTTTGGATGGGTCTAAGTGTTTGGCACAATGCCAGCTAGGGTTGTGTTTAAGATGGTCGAACTATAGCTGAAAGTAATTTTTAACTCCTGGTAAAAGTGAGAAAGTCTAGCACTTTTAACAAATTTATAAAATCATGAAGAAAAATGGCAATTTTACTGTAATTTATCAAACTTGCTAAGATGATTATTAATTATGCATAATCAATTAATCTCTTTTAATGTAAAATGTTTTTCAATGTTAGGTCTACATCTAGCAAATAAAATACAATACCTACTATGGTAGAAGTCTGATCATATTTCATACAAATAAAGAACACATTTAAATGCAATTACTTGAAAAAAATTATAAAGATTGTGTTGGAATTCTCCTTCCCAATTTCACATACTCATTTGGCATATGCTAAGAAACCACATAAGATACAGAACCATGAGCTCAGGATCACCATGCAAAAATACTAGACGGTATTCGGCAGCAAGAGGCATTGACATTCAAGTGGCAGTGTATCGGCTAGACGAATTGCTAAATTAATGCTGAGATGGTTGATATGAAACTCATCTTTCCCACATGTATGTCAAAAATATAACTATATAAATCCTAAATTGTGATTGTAATAATGTGATTGAGGTCCTCTGCAAAATAAGAAAAGTTCTAAAAAATACTCTCAATTAAAATTTTAGGTGTACTTTTATTGGCACATAAATTATTCGATCATGATGTGAATACAATGAAAACAGAAAATCAAAATTAAGTCAATCTTTATAAAGCAATATTACAAGCATTCATGGTTATAAAGAAGCTACAAAACTTAAGCGGTTATGCATTCAAATCAAAAAGTATATTTTAATTTCCAGTTTTTATAAAATCACAATATATGAACTTTATTAACAAATAGTCAGATGAAAGTAATGTGAAGCACATTAGTGAAAAAAAAAATCAGTTACATATTGAACACAAAATATTAATCCCCCGTTTTATTTTTTGCCAGCTGCTGAGAATTAATCATATAGTCAGAATAAAGGACTCATTTTACAGCTTGAAATGAGTTATTGGATAAAAATTATCACACATTCATTATGGGAACAACATACAAAATTCAGAATTTTTATCACAGGCAAATATTTTGCTGGCATATGTTATTTACAAAATTACCAAATAGCTATTATGAAATATTATTATTTTAATTTCAATATTGAAAACTTAGAGATTATGTAGAATACAGAAATTTTTTTAAGACTGAGGGAAATCCTGTATGTTCCCCTTATTTAAAGCTATTAATTAGTTAACTATTACATCTTTATAAATGAGAAAAATTTGTCAATATACTCAGCACAGTCAAAATTTACTGAAGTCCAGTTAGATTGCAGTAATTTTGGCTTCAAGTTTCTGCTATATATACAGTTCCAGTGTTTGCTAAATATAGTATCAGAAAACTGTTAATTATACCACTTGCAAGGACAATCCAGTTTACAAACCCAAGGCAGCTTGTCTCTTAGACAAGAACTTATAAGATAAGGCCTAGCTCACAGAGCTTCAGTCCCCCAAAACAGGAAGTGAGAAGTGACGAAGTAGTCATGTGAGTATGGAGATGCAATTCACAACATAAAAATTAGCTTTTTTAAATTTGAAGAATTGTGTGTGAAAGATAGCTATAATGGAAGAGGCACTGTTACTCTAGCACAAAATCGAATCCTTAATTAATTACAAAGAATACAATAAGAATAACTTTAACAAATGGTACAAATTCGTTCGCATTTGAAATATGCTTTAATTTCTAAAATGTCATCCGGAAATATTTCAAATCAAAACATATTTAAATGCAATGCTTATCTGCACAGTTGCACTGCAACTACCAGTTGTTCAAACATTATTTATTGTCTGCTACATTCGAAGCAATCCACTTGCCTTTTGAGTTGCTTTCCTTACAGAAAAAACATACGCATTTATGTGCATATATATCTAAACATGTGCATCTTCTCCATTTTTTTTTTTTTTTTTTTTTCTTTCCAAAAATTGTAGCTTTTAGATGACAGAGCTCTTATGACAATGCAATGTGAAATACCTTCACTAGTCCACCTGATTTTTTTTTACTTCTTTTCTAGCAATGCATTAAACTGCATCTTAATAAAAATATGTTTTAGACATTTTTCAAAAGTTTCTGACCTGTGCTGTTTTTTTTTTTTTTTTTTTAATTTCGCTATCCGAGATTTTAATTTCTGATACAAATTTATTTCTAAATGTCGTGCATCTTGTTTGTCACTGAGCAAACATTCTAAAATTTTTATTTTTTTCTATTTTTTAATATTCAATATAATTTTCTAAGGATATTATTTTGTTCTTCAAATTATCAATGCTTTCTTGTTTATCTTTACACTTAGGGCATTCAGGTATTTACATTGTCATTTGCGAGTTTTATTTCAAAATCACTCGCATCTGATTTATTATTGTCATCATCAATTTCATTTTCGGCCTCAAAATGAATTTTCTTTGAACTTAGTTCGCATAAGTGTTTCAAAAGCACGCTGCATTAATTTTCATTCCTCGTCTCCAATTATTTGGTGTTATTTCTTTTACTGCATACATTTAATTTACTTTTGGTACGGCATTGCATTTCAACAGTTTATTTTGTGGCAATCCAAGCAAGCGATTTTTCATGTCATTATCACTGCATAGAAAATGTTCGCTGCCAATTCTTGCACTCTTCACATCAACAGAGTCCTGTCTTCGACATTTATGCATTATTTTTTTCTTTCTTTCTTCTTTTTTTTTTGGGGGGGGGGGGTTAAAAGGAAATTGTCCTTTGGGAAAGCATGCAATACAATATCACTTTTTTGTTTTAATAAGTGTTATGCCATGTTGCTATAGCACAAGAAGCCATATTACATAAACGATACTTTGCAGTATAGAATTTAAAGGAAAACTTGACTAACATTATTAGAAAACAAATAGATATGATTAAAATTAATTTGTGATATGTGACCTCCACAAAATTGCCTCACAGCTCGCAACCTCAACCTCGAGGCTCATGAGGAGTTGCTCAAAGGAATGAACTAGCCCTTTTTTCTATTTAACCCTGGTCTAAAACAATGATTTCAAACTGCATGCAGATATACAGGATCTAGAAACAGCTGATGGCAATAACCCTTTTTTTTTGTTAATAAAATAAAAAAATATCATAAAGCAATTTTAGCTATATATTAAACTTACTAAAAATTAATCAAAACACACAGAAACAATACTAATAATATCACATAAGAAGAAAAAAAATTCAAATTTAAATTTATTTTCTATTTGGTACGTGGTTGGTTATACTTTGTAATTCAAATATACTGACAGTTAAATATTATATACAATATTAAATACTTAGACTGACTTTTGTTTCAAATAATTCTTACATGTTTAAAATCATTGACTAATTTACTTTCATTTAAACTGAAAATAAAAAATTACAAACTACAAAGTTTTCAGGAAAAATTTACCAAGTGAAACAAAACTTTAAAATAAATAATGGTAACCTAGTCTCTTTTATTTACGATTTTTTTCGGTGCATAAATAAAAATACTTGTGTTTGTATGTAAACAATTATACACTTCTTTTCCCTTACTACAATTAACTTGATGGTATTTCAATTTTGATAAAGAAATTATTAGAACCAAACTTCATCATGGATTGTAGATACTCATTGTGAATCAGGTTCTTTTTTTATTAATTCATGCTATTCTATTGGGGAAGGATTATTCATATATAAATGGGTTCCCAAACAAAGAGATTATTCTTAGTGCAAAAATAAATAACTGAGCTATTATTATCATTTCTTTTTTAAAGTACAAATAGAAGATAACGAACATCTATATCTTTGAACTTATATCGCACTGTAAATTAATTAGCTCTTTATCGATTTTCTAATGCATTATTCATACTCGTTTTAAATAGAAATGAAAATGTTGTACCCTCAGACTTCAAACAACTACAATCTTGACATCATTAGAACAAACATGCTACTTGCATAAATATGTAACTTAAACGTTCGTGGGCTTCATAAAATTGCTTCAGGCACCATCAGATTGAGTTTCAGCATTTTTCAGGGAATTTTCCAGCTGGTCAAATCACAAATAGGTATTTCAAATAAAGTTTGATTTAATTCCACTTTTGTGCCATACTGTATACGTATACAATAATATGCTAAAATATTAAATGGTACATTGCTAATTATCCTAATGATATTAAATAATGCATTGAACATTTAAAGCTGCAAATTGGATATTAATATCCCCCCCCGTCTCTGTATTATTGCTTAACTTTATAGTGACAGTGTTCTAAGCCCATACTCACATAATAGGTATTTTTTTCAATTTTCAGTGGACTGATGTTATAACAAGGTATTATAAAAAAATTAGAAATTTCGCAGAAAACTTGTCATTGCATAATTATAACTCTTTTAACATTTTCTAAAAAGAACCAAACTAAAAGTAGAAACATACAGTCCTAATATCACAATTTAAGCACAAATATATCACAAATTATATTTAATTATATTTATAGATCAATCAGTTTAAAATTACATATTATATTTATAGATCAATCAGTTTTGAATTTTTTTAAATGAATATGTCTAAAGACACTGATGTATATGACTTATTACAAAAACATATAAAATACAGACTATTAATAGATCATCATAAAAAACACTTTTGAAGTGCAGTTATTTTTAACGAGTTCTGCATATCATAATAAAAAGGTGAAAAATAAGTGTTTAGATGAAAGCAAACGCTTTTATAAAGAAAAACAGAAATGAGTCTATTCAACAATAATTGTTTTTCAGCTGCCAATAAAATTTTACAAATGCAACAGATAAGTAATATATTTATGCAATTTGATCCAATTCAATACTTACACTTTTGAAACAAAAGAAATAAAAATGCAAGAATATAGTAAGTGAAAATGAAAGACATTCAAGAAATATATGATGTTTAAAAACTTTTTAAAAAATGCATATAAAACTTGACAAAACAGTAGCTAAAAAACTCACGAAAAAAGCAAAAGATACTTTAATGAAATGCAATGTCTGAAAAATATTTGAAGAAAAGCTCATTTCATTTTACATTTTAATATTCTAGACTGAAGTGGAGAGCTGCTTTAAGCTGGAATGCATATTTTATTTAACCAAATACTAACATTAAAGTACCACTAAAGGTGGCATAAAAAATTTTTGTATTATTTTTGTTGACAAAAAATTACTGAATAAAGATACATAAATAATAGAATACATAAAGTTTATCAAAGAATATTTCATCTTTGATATTAGGCAAAACAACAACCTCGTTTTTGGACGTATATTTTAAATGAAACTGTATCGATTTCGAGAGCAAACAGGTACAGATCACTCTTCGTCAGGAGCAAAATTTCTGCACAGAAGGAGGAGGCATGACTGTACTTATGCCATAAATAAAATATACAGCAAAGTGAAAACAAGCGTAGCACCACCTACTTAAGAAAATGGTAAATAACACAAAACATTACAACAGAAAATTTAAAGATTAGAAAAGAATTTTCAAAGTGGATTTAAGAACTACAAAGGAATTAATATCTCCAAGATAAATTAAAAATTTTGTGTCCAAGGAACACAAATCTTATGTCAGAAAAGAATAAGCAAACAAATTTTTGATAGTTAATCACACTGGAAATTTAATTACAAATTTGACTATAGGTCTGCGAAAAGCATCCATAAAACTTCCTCATTCGGTAAGTTGGACTTCCTTGAAATTTTTCACATTCATAAAAATTTATCCTACTCAGTTAATCATATTAATTCCAATCCAGTCTCTCCTAATACTTTTCAAAATCTAATATCTTAATTTTCCCCATTTCTATTTCTTTGGACAAATGGCATAATTTTTTACTCTGCTCTACCCTTTGCTTTTGGTATAAATACGATCTTGGTTCCTCCATTTTTCGCAGAATGTTTTTGCTCCTGATGAAGGGAGACCTGTACCTGTTCACCCTCAAATTTGATATAGTTTCAGTTAAAATCTACACCAAACACAAGGTTTTTGCCAAATTAAATTTTAAGTTTTATTTTGGAGTGTTTCTCTATTGTTTCAGATTTATCATAACTGAAAGAAAAAATTCCAACTGATGTTTTTATTTTATAAATCCAGGTTCCCCACTCCTGTTCTAGAAAATGCTCCCATGTATCAAATGAAAATATAAATAAAAATTTGAAATATATCACCAAAATATTAATACTTAAAAAGAGAACAATAAGACACTAATTTTTTCGTAATGTCCAAAATAACACGATACTTATTACAAACAAGAGAACACAATACTTATAACGAAAAAAAAAAAAAAAAAAAAAAAAAAAAAAAAAAAAAAAAAAAAAAATTATTTTTCAAAATTTATGCGCGTTATAAACTTTAAAACAGTAGAATTCCAGTAATCCACACACTTCAGGGTCAAGGGTTATGTGAATTATAAGTCACATGTTTCTTAATTTTGTTTACATTTCACTATCTTTAAATTTTTCACTAAATCTAGATTATAAGCATGTAAATAACCAGCTAAAACACACTTAAGAATTATTTAATTTTTATTAATCAAGAAGGTAATATTTACAAAAAATTAATTAAATAAAAAATATCAGAACAAAGAAAAATCATCGTGGAGGAAAAAATAAGGAAATTTTTTAAAGAAATAATCAACTCTTTTTGTAAACATGCAGTGAAGAGTCATACAGGAAAAGCCTGTACTTTAGCCCCTTGTTCTTTACACTGATTTTTAATTTTAATGCCTGGAAAAATTTAATAAATGCTATTTTCAAGCATTTATCACTACCAATGTAAACATGCTTATTTTTTTTAACAGAATGTAAGTAAACCACTTACAAGGTGCATTTAAGTTGGAACGCAATACATGACTAGTTGTGGACAAATAAATTCTTTACACCTGCTATATAATATCAATATTAACATTATTGTTAAAAGACAGTGGGATATGCATCCAAAAATAGATATTTATGTAAAGGAAAAAATCTGTAGAATTTTTGTACATTGTGTTTACCTCAAAAAAAAAAAAAAGTGCTGAGGAAGACGCAGAAGTTAATTTCAGTAAAGCAATAAATTAATTTTTACATCAAAATATGCTACAGATATAATGTACATTTGTTAGAAAGCTTATTTTTATATATATAAAAAAAGAACTACCTATAAATTTACTGAACTGAATTTTCTGGGAACCAAAATTTTGTTCATTTGCATTCAAAACTGTGTATGGATTACAAGCATTCATGAATTCCCAGAATTCTACTGTATAATAAAACTATACGAAATGAACCCTAGCATTAGGAATACAAAATTTTATTAAGAATATACTTCTTTAAGAAAAAAAAAAAAAATATGAAGGGTTTACTAGCAACTTTAAGTTACACAATCTATACCATGGGGAAATGTGGTCAATGTTTTATTTGGCTGTTAAGTATTTAGTTTATGACTATAAAAAACTACTTTTATTGGAGTACTTTATTAACATTTTCTATATTTTTGTTGTTTAATTTATGAAACATAATAAAAAGTAATGTAAATAAAAGTATTTTAAGTTCGAGTTTCGGAAAGAAGGTGGTTGATCTAGAGATGGTTAAAGGACTGTATGGGGCAAAACAGGTTGAGAACCACTGCTTTAACATTAAAGTTTTACTTATCAACTGAGCATTATTGAGACAAACTTCTTATTGGTTTATTATTTATCAGAACAATGAAGATGAACACAAAAAACTAAATTGCATAAGCAGAAAATTTAGTCAACTTTCTAATGCTCACCAATTTATCAGAAAGATAAACAGTATTTACAAATACTTAGAAGTATTTCAATAACATATTCTGATAGCACTGAAAGTATCAATAACCAATTTTTTTTAATGCAATTCTAAAGTCTGACCCAACATGAAACCCATACTAAATGCCAGATTTCTCTTCTATGCTGATTTAAACAATCTCAATTTTCTAATAACCAGCACGATGATATTTTCAGCATATTTTTTACAAGATGTTAGATCATTTAATATGTAAACCACACTAATTTATAATTACAGCTGTTCAGAGAAAACTGAAACAAATATTACAAAAATTATGCTCTTTTTTTTTCAGTATGTTCTTTCAGCTAGCATATTTGTTTGCTTTAGGGGTTTAAATACACATTATACCATATTTAACAAGTAAACAAAAAAAGAAATGAGGAATAAAATGATTAAGGCCAAACAAAATGGAAATTAAGGTAAATGTTAAATTACAAATATCAAAGCAAAATTGTTAATTGTTTTTCTAACATTTATAAGAAAATGTACTATGTACATTATAAATTACCCAGATTCATTTACAGAAAAACCAAAAGAAGGATAAGTTCTGGAATGCTGGCGTTTGATAGTCCTGAAGGGGATTTCTTTCTTTTTCTCATCACACGAGTCAGAAGTTTCAATTCCAGAATCATCCTGAGTATAGTCATGGGAATGCAGTGGCAATGGCCCATTATTCATCTGATTGTAAGAACAATTTTGAGGTTGTAAGAGATTCTCATAAGATGGCATCATTTGTGGAATTTTCTGAACTTTGGAGTTTAAAGAGTTATAACAAGAGCCTGATATTGGGCAACAAAAACATTTTGGAAAATAAGGAATGACTTCTTTTGAATGTTCACCTGCACTGCACTGCACAGAATTTACATGATCAAAACTGAACTTGCCAGACTTTATTCCAATCGAAAGAGTAGGAAAGTAACATGCCAGTTTGGGTTCACAGAGTTCTTCTTTTAATCCAGCTAATTTCAATGAGATTTTTTTCAAAATTAAATCACAAAGAAGCTGGAAAAAATTTCCCACTTCATCGTAACCTTAATAATGAGAGAAAAACATAAAAATTATCAAAATGAAATACTTGACAAATCATTTTCAACTGAAATTACTGATTAATTATTAATTTAAAATATTTTTAAAGCAGAAAACTAAAACCATTTTATTTTCCTATGATTAAAAAAAGGGGGAGGGGACTGTCAGTGAATACATGTGAAAGAACGGACAAAAAATGGGAACTAGAATTTTACTTCACATTATATAGCAAACCTTTGCATAGCCTAAATAAAACAATAATGATGAAATTTGACATCATGTACATATAAAAGGGAGAGGGGGTTATATGGGCAAACCTTTCAATAGTGAACATGTTTTACGATAAACGAACTGTGTGGTCACATCAAATTTTTATACTAAATGTGTAAAATAAACATAAACTGATTAAACACTGGTTGAATCTTCATATAAAAATCTAGAAATGTCAAAAGTAAATTAAGACAACTCAGATAAAATAAAATTTACCTCCATTTCCAAAAAAATGAATTGGGTTGGGGGAATACAGTCAAAATGAAATTAAATTTAAACAAGAAAAATTATTCTGAAAATCACCAGGGATGCAAAAATATAATTTGCACAATTTCAGTTTCATTCATTCAATAAAGCTTATTTTTTTCTGGAAAACATTTCCCTTAGTATTGGACAAAAAATAAAAAACTGGGAGATAAGACAGAGAAAAACCAGCAATACTAAAGTGCTAAGGATAGAGGTGACTAGGATAGATGTCTCCATTCCAAATACATTACAGCATTTCCCCCCAACTAAATGGTTTTGTCTATAAATAGTATATATAGTCAAACTTCAATAAGCTGGAAGTGAGGGAAGCAGGAATCAAAATTTTCATTAATTACTGAATTATTTTTATTTAACATAAACATGACTAAAAATTTATAGTTAACTATAATAAGCTAAAAGCATATATGAAAAGAGTTTTTACCTGGAAATATATTCATATCAACGATGGCATAATGTCCTGTTACATTATCCACAATCACATCAACACCAAAAAGATTAAGACCCAGGCAATCACGCAAAGCCCGTACAATACAGTCCATTTTTTCTTTATCTGGCCAACCAATAACAGCACACTCTTCATTATCGTCTAACTATAAATTTTTAGAAATAATGTTTTAATTAAAGGCAAAAAAATATAGAAAATATTTGTATTTTACACTTTTACGACAAAAGATTAATCAATTCTTCACAAAATAAATTTTAGGAGTTTTGATTTTCATTTCGAGAAGTATATTATCCGTTACTGAAAAATAAAAAAAAATCACTTTCCTTTTTTTAAAATTTCAAAACTTAGTTCAGAATACTTGTTCATGGCAGTTTTTATCACTATAGTTGTATAAGCAGAACTCCTTTCATGTCTGCAAAGGGTTAAATATATACCTTCGCAATGGTCAGCAGAAAATAACTTATATAAAAGATCAAAATTATTTTAAAATAGGAAATAAAGAATCTTATTAAGATATAAAAAAACGTGAAATATTTGGGTAAGTAAACGTACAGTTAACTCCCGCCAAACACTATTTTATGCATTAGCATTACCATAACTGTCTTCATTTTATTTGTCCACAGTGAGAATTTCAATTATGTGCACTGCGCTGCAAAACGTCAGCTATGTTGTAATAGTCCTCTTTAAAGACTAGTTTGAAAATTCACTCATTAAAGAAGTCAAACATTACTTGAAACAGAAAAATCTAAACTAAATGTTCTCCTAATTCTTCAGTACTGCTCTAGGACACGATACTGAAGCTCTTGCAACAATGCATCCAAATGTATATGTTTTATTCCTTCTATCAAACACCACTTCCTTAATCCAACCAATGAATCATGAAATCATAAAAACATTTAAAGGCATGACTACATTTCTGCACATAAAACACAGGATGAGGGGCAGCACAGCACATATGGCATTTGAGAAACAATTCAATGTAAGATACTGCACAAAAATGATTACACTTGCATGGGAACAAGTGAATTCATCAACAATGAATGTTAGCAACAGGTCAGAAGTTGTCAATAATTTTAAAGGATTTCCATCAATTGAAAATGAAGCCAAGAAAATTGTGCAAATTGCAAAAGTAACAGGCAGTAAAGGATTTTCAGATATGGAAGAACAAGAAGTTATAGAATTAGTCCAGAATCACAATCCTGAAATGATATAGGAAGAATTGAATGATCTTATACCACCAGCCAATGGTGAAATCAGCAATAATGAAGATCAAGAGCCTTTAATGTACAAGAAGGCACAAAAACTGTCTTATTTTGTAATAGAGATTGACCTAAATGAAGACAGAGGACACTTTATGAGAGGCTTTGAAAAACTTTGCAGTCCTTACTGCAAAATTGTCCGAAGAAAAAAATCACCAGCTATTTAAAAACATAACTGCATCATATACCTTACTCATTAAGCAATAATGAAATTCTTCCACTTAACATTTGTTTTAATTTTCCCCTAGTAATTAGAGCAATATTTACGTTTGTGTAAATTATACATACTTTCTTAAACTATACCCTAGCCCATTTTTTCTATAGAAAGTTCACTTTCCAGAACTCGATTCTGTTATACACATAATGTGTTAATGACATAACCTTTGTGTTTGAAAAGTGTTTACACTATACTTACATATTAACACAATCAGTTTTGTAGAAATTGCCAAACTCTGGCAACGTGCATATAACAATTCTTGTTTTCAAAAGGCTTTTAAATATGATAAAATTAATGTTCATACTATTATGTGAACAAATGGAGTAACTTACTACAACACAATGACATGAAACAAAATTAAACACAAATATTAATTGAACAAGCATCAGCTTAATTGTTATTAGAAATCCTACAATACAATTCAGATCAAATAAAATTTAATAAAACTTTTTAAAAAATTGAAAATTACTAATGGTGAGAAATGGAATTTGCTCAGTTTAAGTTTCATTAATTCAACATATTTCATTTATTACTGAGAAACCTTTTCTTTAGTAAACACTAAATATTAAAGATGGGAAGATCAGGAGAATCGGCGGCTTATTGAAAAAAGTGGCTGATTATTATAAAATCAATGCAATACCTCCTTTCAGCAGTGCGAATCTACAATGGCTGAGAGTCATGCCAAAAAATTTTCAGTTTCTTTTCTAATATCCAATCATTTACCTTAGTTTTAACACAGTTCTTATTATTGAAAAATAAAAAAAGGTTTGCTATCTAATAACTTTTTGCATGTCTTTGAAGGAGACAGGGCTGTACGACATTTCATTTGCAATGTTAAAATATCAATCTTCTTCTGTCATGGTATGTATGTCATAACCAATCCAATAGTAAAAAATTACTATTGGATTGGTTTCCAATAGCAATTCCAAGAGTAAACATGATATCCGATAGTAAAAAAAAAAAAAAAAAAAAAAAAAAAAAAAATTATAAACAATATAAACCAACTCAGATTGATGCAGTATTTCAATACTAATTAATAATTAATATGTGATTTCAGTGACTTAAGAACCTAAGCAACAGGACATGTGATAAATTGCCTCAGATGGGGATTTGAAATATGAGAAAGCTTATTAAATAATAAGTAAAATTTAACAGTACAGGTGGAGCATTGAGGTGCAATCTAAAGCCTTTAATAATGCTTCTATGTATTACAACCTATCAAATGTGATTACTGATCTTGAATCCATTATAACTGGAATATAATGTCTGCTTCAGAAGAAAATATTCTAAAAGGTTGAAGGATGACTTTATCTTGCCGAGGAATTTCAAGAAATGGAAAAACCATCATGTAAAAGTGAGATTTCAAGGCATGAAATGGTCATAAAATGGTAATAAAAAGTCATTTAATTTGAAACTATAAGATTAAAATGAATGATACTGAATTAATATGAAATAATGGTTCATGCCTCAGCTATACAAACTGTTCAAAATATTCCAGATTCCGCATTTAAAGATATCCTTAAAATGTCTAAAGTTGATAGTGAAACGGATGCTAATTTAATTGTTCTAAATCATTGACTATCTGATTTAAAAGCTCAGTGTGTCACAAAACTCGTAACACCAATTAAGTATTCAAAATGATTTGGCATGAATTTAATGCATGACAACATTCCCTCCTCAGATATAAAACACGAGGAAAGAAGACAAGTTCACTGATGAAATCAGTGCACAGAACTTTTGCTTCGGAAACACATTATCAGCAGAACACCCGCCTTTCAAAAATTATTCCCTCTCCTTAAAAGAAACATAAAACAGCACTTAACATGACCCCCCCCCAAAGAAAAGGATGATAAATCGAGGGATTAGAAAACAAAATGACTCTTAGCTCTCTCAATATGCTTAAGCATTAAGCAAATAATACCGCCATAGCTTCAGTTAATCACTTCTGTATAAACCAGAGTTTACTGGAGAGTTCTGGTTGCGCTATCTAATGCATGAGAATGATGAGGTAAATTAAGAACATTAGCATTTACTTCTATTCGTGGCTTTTTCACTTCCCTAAAATGAATTGAGAACTGAGCAAGAAGAAAAGATAAGGTTCATACATTAGAGCTAACTGGAATCTATGTGCTCACAACAAGTCCTAATAATTTCCAGGTACCTTCCAAGTACTTGATCCTTCATTTTTATGCCATTTACAGGCATTAAAAGTTTTACAGTTAGGTGATTAATTATGACTGATACTGTTGGAAACCATTATCTGAAAAAGAGGCTAATAAAACAACGTGTTTGGAGAAATGTCTTAAACCAGTGGTCTCAAACTAAAATTGCATAAGAGCTGAATGCAAGATCTGAAAACTGCTGAAGGGCAGAATATTTTCCCCCCAAAAGGAAAAAAATATTATTAACAAAATAAAAAAATATATTTAAATTTTGCTTAGTAAATATTTATTAAAAACACGCCAAAATAATAATAATAATAATAATAATAAATTTATATTTATTAGCCAAAGGAGCAATTTGCTCAGAGGGGTTATTGATTTCATTTTGGCATTTTGCAGTGTCTACTAACTATACAATGGTGTTTTACTTTTCAAATTGTTGCCACCAAATATTAATGCCCTGCATTATATTTAAAGAAATAAAATAAAGAATCTGCATGAATGTGTGCATGTTTCTTTCACTGTGAAAAAACAATGGTATCTATAGTCATCAAATTTTTAATTACATCCAGATCCATTTACTCCATCAGATCATGAGCACCTGGAAGCCCAAGTTTTGAATTTGCTTTATTAGCTATTTAAACTTTGACAAATTTTTGATTAACAAACTCAACGATTTCAAAGCGAGCAGGGGCGATACTGTTGTGCGGAATAAAACACTTTTATCTCCAGCACGCAAGACTGTCTACTGGAAATTCTAAGATAGGTTCTTTTTAAATATTTTGTGACATTTCTATTGAATGGGGTGTAACGTAGCAGGCCTCCTCATGGTGCCCTCTGGATAATGCTAAATCTACTACAGTTCTGCCCTTCTCACGCCTTCTTTTTGATGAAAGACAGCGGTAGCTCCATTTAAACGTCCAACCGGACATGACTGTTTGTGAGACCACTGCTACAGAATTGGAAGTGGTGGATGCCCCAAATTGCATTTTGTGTGATTACAATCAGCCTATGATTTTGAACATTTAAATAACTGTATTGCACTTTCTCAGTATAAAGACATTGTTAGAAAGTACTGGACAGCCCATGAACTAATGGCTTAAGTTCTAATGTTTGGCATTTGTAAAAAAAATATTGCCGTTGAACTGAATTTTATGTAGTTTAAGTGCAAAGAACATGATGTTTAATAAAAGGTAACACACAAAATGTTAAAAAAAAAAGGTCCCTTTGGGCATAATATTCCTTTTATTTTCTGCTTGAAATCTACAGTTCAGTACATACTGGTTAAATCTTTTTGTTTTGTTGGTTAGAATGTAATTCAAATATACTGACAACTGAGTATTTCATTCTTTGAGAAACATTCTTTTCAAATAATTCTAGCATATTCATTAATCATAAAGTAACTTACTTTAATTTTAATTTAAATTAAAACAATTTATGACAATTTATAAAAACTTTCTAAGTTTTCAGAGAAAATTTACCAAGTCATACAAAACTCGTAAGAGTCTTGTCTGTTTTTCTAATATTTGTGTTTGATGCATTAAAAAAAAATACATATATCTGAGTGTAAATAATTACATGCTTTTATATTTCTTACTACAATTTGACTCCTGAAAGCATTTTGACTCATAATGTTTGGGCCTTGGAGAGAGTTATTAATTAAATCTTTGCGATACTGTAATTTGCAACAAATGCATAATTAAAATGCATTTGCGAGCCACATAAAATATCCGGTCTAAGAACATCGCCTTAATCCATACATATACTGATCATAATTTCTAGAAATAGGTATCTTCACTACAATGCATTAGGAATACACACATGGAAGGATACTTAGGGACTGTTACACTAATTCACAAAACAAGTTCTCAATATATATTTTCACAAGCACCTTTAAAATAGCATCTCATTTTTCCAAGGTGTTTTTTTTCCCAAGTATACATATTAAAAACATATTTCACAAACTATTTAAAATCCTATTACAGTTTAACCAATAATAATTACAGGCATCATCCCCTTTTTTGCTGTTTTGTTCTTTCATATCCCAGCATTCATGACCAAAACCCAGTATTTAACATGTAAATTGCTATTCCATTCAATAATTCTGTCAAAAGTCTGTCTGTGTTTTATGAATTACCAGATGTTTATTCATTTTATAGCATTCTTGTGTAAAGTACATTTTACTAAATAATATTCAAATGTAATGTATATCAATATTCCTGTCTCTGTTTTGAGATGAATAAAATGTATTTGCAAATTAGAAACAGAAGACTGAACTAGCATTTCAATTCCTAGGTTTTTTTTAAACAAAATTTTAACATATTTATAGAATACTGTTCCTTTACAAAATATACATACATAATTATCTTACTTTTTACACAAAATATGGCAACTCTTTGAGAGCTATATACAGTCAAAAGTCGTTAATTCGGACACCCGTAATCCGGAATGATCTATAATCCGGACCTCAAAGCTACAAACTTTCTGCGCATGCGTCGCGTTCACGCATGCGCACAGGCGTTTACGAGAGCACGTAAGACCCTTAAGGCTGCGAATATGTTTGTGCGCATGCGTGTTTAATGTGTAACGGAGTTATACGCTAAGCTAAAGTTATCTAATTCAGTTAATGTTTCAGATTGCGTTGTTCCTTAATCTTCGAATTGGATCCGGCTTATTATTTTTTGCAGACTGTTAGAGCAATTTTATAAAAGTAAGCTTGAACTTTCGATTATGTCAAATAGAATTTCCGATATATATTTACTACAAAGCGAAAGTAAAGTATGTTTGAAATCCGAAATCTGTTTATCAATTTCACGCTGCTCTGCGGCAGAGAGGGAGGGCAGAAACGTCATTATTAGATTATGATAGATTAGAAAGATTATGTCAAATAGAATTTTCGATATATATTTAATAATATGTAATTTGTATCTACAAAGCGAAAGTATGTTTTGAAATCCGAAATCTGTTTATCAATTTCACTCGGCGGATTGGAAGTTAATCTGTCAGCACTATCCTTATCTTCAGGGCAGATGTTTTTATTTTATTTAGTTTATAATTCCGTACTAAGTGTAGTATTTCATTTCCATGTACTCGGTCTTTGATATGATTTAAATCAAGTTCCTCGTCATTATAATTCGCTTCCGATAGTGAAGAAAGTGACCCAGAGGTTATTGAAAACGAAAACATTTCGATTGACAAATTAGTCGGTATTCTCAACACAGCAATTATAGGACTGGAACAGCGGAACTTTGTAACTAAACAAGAAATTATGTCTGTTTAATAGAATTAAAGAGAAAGTATTATCACATGAAACGAAGCAACTTACATTGAAGGAAATGTTTAATAAAGTAAACAAAATAAATATTAAGCTTTTTCTTTTTGTAAATTTTGATACCCTTTAGATCATAATTGTTCTTTATTTCATAAATTACGGTTTCATATTTTTAATTTTGTAATTTCTGCATGCCATCTTACCAGATTTAAACTGATGATCTATAATCCGGAAAAATCGATAATCCGGAATCGCCGAAGTCCCGAGGAGTCCGGATTAACGACTTTTGACTGTACTAATAAATACAAATTTTATGAAAAATAATAAATAGGAAACAACTTAACCTCTGTAAGAGCAGATGCAGAGTGAGGCTTTGAAATTTTATCACTATCAAAAAATATAGTCTTTTGATCTGAAACAATCATACGAAATACACATAAATACTTCATAAAATATATTGAGATAATTTATTTAAATAATTTCACAATTTTTAAATACAGTTTTACACACATATTAAAAAATTGATGGAAAATAAATAAAAATGAAATAACAGACTACTGGACTCTTAAAGACTAGTTCCTACTAAATTATGCTTTGACAATATACACAAAGTATCGTATAAATACCCTGTAACTCAGCAAAGTAGCAAGCATTTGTAGTTCTGAGTGAATAGAAAAGAAGCCAATCTTTACAGCCCATAAAATACAAAATGGCTAAGTGGGGAATGCCGTGAAACACTGACACTTCATCACAGGCTCAAATCCTGATGACTAAATGAGCTGGTCGCAAGGATCTTTTGTGAACTGCACCATGCAAAATGTAAATAACCACCAAATTCTCTAGCTTGGGCATCTTCTACCTTAGGTAGACAATCCTTTGCATGCTTTGCTGTAATCAATAAATCTAAATCCAAATGCTATACAAAGTATCATATAAATAATACCCTGTAATTCAGCAAAGTAGCAAGCATTTGTAGTTCTGAGTGAATAGAAAAGAGGCCAATCTTTACAGCCTATAAAATACACAAAATGGCTAAGTGGGGGAACGGCGTGAAACACTGACACTCACAGGCTCAAATCCTGATATCTAAATGAGCTGGTCGCAAGGATCTTTCGTGAAATGCACCATGTAAAATGCAAATAACCACCAAATTCTCTAGTTTGGGCATCTTCTACCTTAGGCAGACAATCCTTTGCATGCTTTGCTGTAATAAATAAATCTTAATCCAAATGCTGAAACAGAGAGAGCTAATATATGCCTAACTGGCAACAAATTAATTCTCTCTCGCTTTTTTTAAATCATTCAGAACAAGTTAAGTGTGCCTTATTATTTCTCACTCATGTTCTCTCATTCACTCATGCATAAAAACCTAACACAAATTTTATAGATATAATGATGCAAAATATCCTGCCTTCATGTGGCTCTATTTTTAACAAAACTTTCACTGTCTATTCCCATTATATTATTCATGCAAAGTAAAGACAGAAGAAATTGAACTCTTAGGTATGTGACCATAATGCATATTATACCATTCTAGCAAGCCTTCACAAGACAGTTGCTGCTTAATCCTTACTATACCAGCTATTATGTAGCAGGATGCAGCACATTACAATGTAGCAGCAATATACAAAACTTGGAGGTAATTGCATTATATCAGTGAGTCATTGTAACTTTTTTAGTATGGTTTGTCTCTTAATCTGTTTTACTGGGATATAGTGCATCAAAGAGGAAGAGTTTTCTGAAACAAGTGCCTAAAGACACTGCTTTATTGAAGATGATAGAAAAAGTCTGTCAGCTTTTAATCCAAAGTACATTAAGTGTGCTGAAAAAATACAATTTGACATACTGCTTTCAAAACAATCATTCTGATTTTACCCCCTTCCTGAACAAACAATGTTATGGGGGGAATCCCTATTTGAGTATTTCTGAAATCTGCACAGTATTTGTTTCTTTATTTTCTCACCCCATTGGTGAATTGGTAGATATAAAAATATGGCCTAAATGCTCATATTTATACGTCGTATCAGATCAATGAAAAAATTTTAGAATTACGTTTTTGCCAGGATAACAAAAAATTCAACTTTATTGGATGATGTAGCATTTAGACTTATTGTGAGATTTTCTTAAAACGTACTTCTTTTGAAAACTTAAGGCTGCGGAAAAATAAGACTATCCATGAGTCAGCTGGAGTTTTGAAAGGAACACATTAATTGCATGAATCAGGCAGGCATGCACTTACTAGTTACGGAATTAATGATAGCTGCACTATGAAACAGAAGTAATCCTTTGGAAAGAGGAATAGTTCAGAATTGCATGCATACATAACTGCATGGATTATTTTAATGCAACCTTACACCACAAACACTTGTGTAAAAAGTTTCTTTTTTTTCTTGAACTGCAGAGAAATTGAAGCAATCTTAATAATAAAATCCTGAATGATTTATAGTATGTCCAAAGTATTGAGTAAGCTTTCTGAGCTTACTCAATACTTTGGACTTAGAACTAAACAAATCTATGGACACTTAAGATACACCTGACAAGACTGATCAAGAGAATGGAAACGTATTTGTTTCAAAACACATAATAAATTAGAAATTCTAACTAAAACAATGATGTGCCAGTGCATTATACGTATATCCCACTATGAAAAACTTATATCAGCAACCTTGTGGCGTTAACAAGAAGGAGAATGGGATTAAATTTACTTTTAAATTTACACCGAAACAAGGTTATTGGTGTAATAATATTAATTAATGCAATTAAATATAATAATTATATGCAATTAAAAATAATTATTCAAAGTTTTTCAGAAGTCTGGGCTTACAAATGACTGAATGCCCTAAAGCTGTAAAACACAGGTTAACTTACCCTAAGTTCTATTACAGGCACCTGAAAAGCTAGCTGCATGAGGTTTTTGCATTTTATATGTAATGTAATTCCATAAGTAAACACATGTATTGTGCTATACCATAATCTAATAATTTACCAATCTGAAAGAAGCTGACGCACAAAACAGTGCTATTATATACCTTTCAGAAGTTTGACGATCAAGCTGAGGCAAAATCTAAAAATACTTTCTCAGCCATACCTGTTTATTAATTTAAATATAATTTAAAGTAAAGTAAAAAAGAACAAATGATAAAAGAACTTTGTGGTCAAAAACTTTGCGCACTGTGCTGCAAAATTTAGAAAAAGGTTAAAAGAAAAATCCTAGTTCGTACACTAAAAAGCCACTGAAATACTGTGGTTCCGTGAAAACATTAACATGAGCAAAATAAGTTGCAAATAAATGTGTTACTAGAGAAAAAAATTCAACATTTGAATATTTACAAGTAAAAATCAATACTAATAGTAAGTAATATGCTAATCTAATTAAGGTATACTTAAAACATTAGTAAAAGTACTAACAAATTATTTGAGCAAAAATATAAAAACTAAGAAGCGGTAAATAGCAGATTAGCCTAATTTGAATCTCATTATGGCTCATCAGGGGAAATTATTTTTTAATGAATTTTAAATCAAGCTAACTCCATATCGCGTTTTGCCGAAACAGACAATTGAAACTGTACCTGAAACATTTTTTAATTAATTAAATAAACTTTATCAATAGCTTTAGTCTCAATTCTCTGTTCCAATTTCCCAATGCATCCGCTTTGAAGAAACACATTAAGGTGTAATAAAGACAATAGATAATGGAATGGTAATCCCGATGTACAAAATAAAATAAATAGCGATTTGCTATTAGTCAAAATATACAAGATTTTATGGGAGGACCTACTAGCTTAAAGAGTTAATACTTTGTAAAAGTACCAAAAGTTAAATTTAAATAATAATAAAACAGAGGAACTGAAGCAAGAGTCTTGCCTAGACCAAAAATTTTTACAAGAGAAAAAATATTGTTTAAAACCAAACCTGGAGAGGCGCCGTCTTCATCGTTGTAAGATCAAACTCCAAAAAGGGGGTGTCAGCCCCGAGCAATAAATAAAATGTAATTTAAATATATATATATACTTCAAAGGTCTGAAATTGTTACATTATTAGATACTTTTTTAATGATGCAAATGAATGCAATGAATCTCAGAATGAGGGAGAAAACAACTTTATATTTGATCTCAATACCTGAAATATTGCAGAATACCCAACAAATTCCAGCTTGAATACAGAATGTGTATTTTTTTTGCAGATGAGCTTTTTTTTATTTTTTATAATGATATTTCACAATTTTGAAGCACATATTGTGTTTTCCTTCTTGATAATGATGTCCCACCGCAATGTAAATTTTTCAGTTATAATAAATTGTACTTTGCTAACATGAGCTAGTTTTATTAATAAGTTTGTATCTGCCTTACAATGTCACACGCATGATTACACATATTTATTATGATTAGATACCAAGGTAATTGAAACTCTTGCTCACGCTTATGCACAGTTATTGCTGTACTACAGGGCATCATTCCATACTAATTTGGTGATGCTTTACCTGTTTGTTACCAACTTTTTTTGCTATTTCTCATAGTTTTTGTGACAGCATAGTCACTTTACTATAAGCAGATAAAGCTTCTACAGCTCTAGTTTCTGTGTTGTTTCAGTTTTAAAAACTGGCGAGCTAGAATTTTTATTAACAAAATAAAAAATACTTTAAATAAACTTTAAATTTCAATTACTAAGAATTTTTAAAAATATACATAAATAATAATAATATCACAAAAGAAAAATAAATTCAAACTTATGTTTATTTCTTATCTAAATTTAAAGTTTGGTATCTGCAATATACTTTTGTTCATTACATTTTGTAATACAAATACACTGACAGCTAAATGTTAAGTTTTCAGAATGACATTTATTTAAAAGAGTTCTAATCATTAAATAACTTGCTTTAAACTGAAAGCAATTATGAAAATTTGTTAAATTTTTCAGAGAAAAATTTTAAGTGGGACAAAAATTGAGAATAAATAATGACTACTTATTTTTTTTTTTTCCTGTTATTTATTAAATTTTTCTTTTGGTGCATATAAATAAAAATACATGTCTGTATGGAAATAATTAAAAATTTCTTTTATTTCTTAAAACATCTTGACACTCGATGACATACTTTGATAAAGTTTGCAGCTTCAGAGAGCTTCAGTTTGCAGTTATTACTAGATATTATCTTCATTATGGATTGTAAATGCTCATTGGTAAATCTTTTTTTTTCTTCTTATTTTTCACATGCGAAAAAAATCTGTTTAAATATGCATGTTTTCCCGAAGAAAGGTATTATTCTTAGAGCAAAAACCTGTAAATGAACTTATTTATTTTTTTACAAGTAAGAATAAAAGTTAATATTTAAATCTTTGAATAAGATTTGCATTCCACTGTGAATTAGCTCTATTTATAGATTTTCTGATGTGTTATTCACATACTATAGTTTTAATGATAGTGAAAATAATACAAACCTGTAGTTAAAATCATGAAATCTTTGCAAAAGATTCATAATTTGCAACAAATACATAACTGAAATGTCTTCGCTGGCCACCAATTTCAGACTATTGGACTAAACTACAGTAAACCTACGAGTAATCATGTGAAATGTTTATGTAAGGCTTTCCTGAAACATGAATATTCTATTGTTCTGGAAAAATACAACAGTTGTGAAATGGCAGCTTAGATAAAGCTATACTTTATTTATTACACCAATTTCCAAAAGTTAAGAAACAGATATAGCTTAATAGATAATTGGGGAAAAACATTTAAAGTATACCCCTAAAAAGTAAAAGAAACAAGAACCCAGCAGTAATGCTTCATGCTCTTGATAACTACACTTAACAGCTCAGACAGAAAGAGCTATCACTTTTCCTGGGTCTTTGAATTTAGTCAATGATTTAGAAAAGAGAACTAAGGGCAGATGGAGGTTCCTCTTATTATATTTCATACATATGGAAAGATTAAAGTTTATATCTGAATGGTCAGTCAATGTTTTATTAGCTGAGCCTTAAAAATGTTAAATACTTTGCTAGAAAAATGACTATTTTACACACCTATATATAAATGGGTTTGTAACGGATTGAATGTACACAGAACTCATGATAGCTTGATAAAATCAGCTTTCTTAAAAGAAACAGCTTACAGTTCTGGAACTTTCCATAAAAGCATTCATAAAAATACTTTTCTCAGTATCATACAGCATAATCAGTAGTTAGACCTCAAACTAAGAGCACTAAACAAAACACATTGCAAAGCCTATCTAAAAGGTCAAGCTCTCACACAGATCACAATGCTCCAAAGTCAGCTCTGAACTAACAACTGAGAACAAATGCTCTTCCCAGTCTCATATAGTTTTCCCTTGGACACTCAGAAATCTCCAATACCTTCAATTTCATTCATGAAATTACTAGAAGGCATGTATGGCTAAAGTTACATATAAGTGACGGATACGGTTACAGTTACATATAGCGATCAATTAACATTATACAATGACCGGACTAAAATGTCACCAATGTTATACAACGACTGCAACAAATGGCAATAAAAATTAATTGTCTAAAACATTGCTATCCAAAAACATCATAATATCTCGTCATTACTGAGATAGCCATTTTCTTCAATGTTTAATAAACTTGCCGCTGTAATCTTATTTTTTCGGTGCCTTTGTCTCTTCAGACTTTTTAGGTTACCTTATACAATAGATATTACAATTTCACCAAAATTATTTACATATATGCAAAATTTGTAACAATATTTTACCCTTATGTATCTAATTAAAATTGAAAACAATATGCAAACATTTAATATTAAGTGTCATTTTCATAAACATGAGAAAATGAAAAAGATGCGCACTGATTTAATTAATGTGAATGTAATTTTTTTTCTTATTTGGAGAACAGGAATAAAATTTCCATTAATTTCAAATTTAAAGGTCTATATTTCAGGGGGAAAACTAATATATCCTTTTACTATGCAAAACAAAAGCACCATAATTATGAACAAAAGGAACCCCATTATATAAATTATGTGTAGGAATATAATATTAATAGAATGTTAAGACTTACCTCCAGCAGAAAAATTCTTCAAGGAAGGCCTCTCAATGATAAAATACTGATTCCCAATGATGAATAATTTATACAAAATGGCATTATGATTAATAAATTTCTGAGCAACACAAGGTGGAGAAACATCTTTTAGACCTTCTTCATTAAAAATAAGGCTCATCTGAAGAAAAAAAATATAATAATAATAAAATAAAAATAAATAAATAAATAAAATAAATAAAATAAAAAATAATTACGAGTAACAAAAAGCAATACATGAGCAAAACACATTAAAAATATGCTGCCATCTATAATCAAATGTAAAAACCGGATTACTTCAGCAATTGTAGTCATTAAAATTAATGACTTCAAACATAATTTTAAAAAGTCTTAAATGGAAGTAATTCATTATCATTTCCATTAAAAAATGTAATTGCCATTTAAAATAGTTATAACTATAAACTTTGTGCAGGGACAAAAAAATATCAGTTATGTTTCTATAACTAATATCTGTAGTAATTTCATTTATAAATAATAATGACTTAAATGTTTTTGCAATTTGTAATTGTGGCTTAAAATACACCGAATTTACAGCAAGTAAAGTCCATCATGTCCAGTTTGGTTTATCTTGGGCCACATTATACAGGGTGTTTCATAATCATGTGACAAACTTGGAGGGGTGGTGGAGCGTACTAAAACATGCATTTTTTTATAGATATGTAGGGTCTAAAGTGACGGGCAGTAACGCAAAAAATGGCACGAGAGGAAAATGTGTTTATGTACAAAATCAACGCAGTGCTTCTTTGTAGCAATACAGTACTCACAATAAATGTTCAAAATTGCGAGCACCAGCAGTAATACATGCCTGGTAATGTCACGAAAGGGATTGACGAACATTTTGAAAAACGACAGGCATTTTGTGCACACTTGCAGCCGTGGATAGTCGTGCAAAGAGGTCTTCCAGTGAGTCAATGGGAGTCTCTTAAATGATGCTCTTCAGATAGCCCCATTAAAAAAATCCAAATGGATAAATCTGGTGAACGGGGTGGCCATCAAACAGGTCCACCATGGCCATTCCATCGGCCCGGAAATGTTCCATCCAAGTAACTGCGGACCCGCATGTGGTTATGGGCTGGTGCCCCATCATGCCGGAACCACATACGATCATGAACGAGAGCCGGAACATCCTGCAGCACTTCCGGTAGCACCTCTTGCAGAAAAATACGATAACATAAGCCATTTGTACGTGCAGGTAAGAGATATGGGCCTATGAGGTAGTCATTAACAATACCCGGCCACACATTCACGGAGAAGCGGGTTTGGAAGGCATGTGGACGTATGCCGCGTGGATAACGAGTTGCCCACACGTGGATGTTATGGCTATTGAAGGTGCTGTCCTGAGAGAAAATTGCTTTGTCTGTAAATAGCATATCCGATGGCAAATCTGCTTGCACCGCACACTGCTCCAAGAATCAATGACAGAAATGAACTCGAAGATGGTAATCTGTCTCTTGCAAAGCTTGACTCTCTGCAAATGGTATGGGTGCAAACCATTTTCATGCAATACTCTCCAAACGGTGGAATGACTCAGCTGCAGATGATGTGCAATAGCTCTTGTACTTGTCTGAGGTGATTCATGCACAATGTTCAAGATGGATTCTTCAATGCGAGGTTGTCATGTCCACTCCTAGTGTCAGAGGTGGCTTCAAATGACCTGTTTTCACACAGGTCATTTGAAGTGTTCGAAAGGTTGCATTCAATGCAACCTTTTGAACATTGTGTGCTTCGGCATACGCCTGTTCGGAAAATGTTCCTGGCACAACCGTAGCACTGTTCGTTCCCATTAGCAGCACCACACATGAGATGCATGTCAGCTTTTTCCCTGTGCGTAAACTCGCCCATCATGCTCAACATCAGAGTTGCAAATGGTCCTCTGATACAACTGATCGTAGTTTGTCCGGTTCACTACTTCAATCACAGCTGTAGTTCCTATTACTGTTAGTGCTCCCTTTTTTTTAACATTTATTGTCAATACCGTATTGCTGCAAAGAAGCACTTTGCATTGATTTTGTACATAAACACATTTTCTTCTCATGTCGCTTTTTTTGTGTTCCTACTTTAACCCGTCACTTTAGATCCTACATTCCTATAAAAAAATGCACGTTTTAGTACACTCCACCACCCCTCCAAGTTTGTCCCATGATCTATGAAAGACCCTGTATAATACTGCATTAAGATTCATGCCTTTTTCACTTGCTTTTGAGTTCGATTTATCTTTATAAATCCCGTAGACATATATTTTTGCATACATTCATCATTATATTTACAATATAATAATATAACTCCAGAAATAAGGATAATCAGTACTTGCGAGTTATTAGGAATTGGAAACTACAGCAGACACCATAAACAGCAATAATTTGGCAAAAAATATTTACTTTCCATTTGCAACCATGTTTTCAGCCATCAGCATGCCCTATTAATATAAAATCTGCCAATATGGCTATTATGTCAGTATAGCCTTCAATGCATATATAATTTGTTATTTTCATGATAGGTTTATGGGATTAACTAGGCAATGAAAAAAATTTATCAATTATCTGTGTTATTATGTAATACTGCCACTACGAATTGGTCACCACACTATTCAAAATACTTTGATTTTCTTTCTATTCGGCACTGACAAAACCAAGAGCAACTGAAAATAAAGTCAATTATATCCTCACAATTCAATTGCTGATCTCAAGCTGATGAATTCACGGGAAAATTTTTTAATTATGACACACACAGAACACAAAAGCATAATTAATTTTCATAATTAAATCATCGGCAGATAATAACTGCCCTCTTCTCACCACAGACTTTTTCCAACTCCTTTTCTTAACTGTCCTGGCAGCAAAGTTTTTATCCCCTACCTTAACACCATCTTCCAAAAGTTGGCGAAGCTTCAATCTTATCGATCTGTTCAGTTAAATCTTGCACGCCCTCTTTGGGAAATGCATGTCTCCTAGAGATTATATGCATAGTCAGATTCAAGGCTTTTTTATGTACCCCTGTACACACAAAGTCCCACCTGGAAATGTCACATTTTACTGGAGCATACAAGATCACATATACATAAACCATTGCATATTCTACACACAAGTGCAGTATGACAAAATTCAGAGTTCCAAATAAGGATATAACATTAATTTACAGAATAATCAGCAGCATTTAGTTGCCACAGTAATTATCCATAAACTTCTGAGAGCAATTCTTGATGATAATAACAGAGGATACATAGCTAATTGACTTTTTCTTTTAAATATACATGCATGTTTCTACAAATGTTACAGCCACTGTTCTGCATAGAATGCTACTCAGTTGCTGCTGGGTAACCGTGCATCGGCATTTCCGTGCTGTTGAACCCTTTGGGAAAAATCTTTATGTTATGCTTTTGTGAAGCCAGTGTCAAGCTATCTCCACATGGTTAAATTTGCATTAGGTGCATAAAAGGGTTAAGGTCAGATACAATCTGGACTTTCTTCAAAGATCCAAGTATCAAACTTCTGAAGAGCTGCCAAAATGCTGCATGTTTTCCTCTTAATTTTGGATCATCAAGATATCAGTTTTCTACTGAAAAATGCTACTGAGTGCTTTTCCTTGATAATAGCTGTTGCTGATGCATCAGTATATAGTAGTTAAAGTAGCTTGTTCAATACTCAAATGGATAGTGGTCAGAAAGATGTTCCTTTAATTTCTGAAAAACCAATTCTTCTTCACTGCCCCATGGATTATTAGTGATTTTAGTCAAATTTGTCAAAAGTAATACTAAAGGGCATAAAGAAAGACTATTTTTAGCCCAATCATCTATAAAATGATGTTTTACTGCCATCAATACTCTGCTTCATATGATCATGAGATTCTTGAATTGATCAAAGGGCACAACTTTTAGACCAGTAACCCATTCTTGAAAATAATTGGTTATTTCTAGTGACAGAATTTTTCCACACTAATTTTAAGAAGTTCTTTTACATGTTTTTAAGTCCTCCGTCTTTTCTGCAAGTTCTTTCATATGGTAACAAGCCTAAAGATGAGAAACCCAGTCTATTTCCTTTCTGTCTACAAGCTTGTCTTTGAAATAAAACTAAGTAAAGACTTGTGTCCCCTCTTTTGGATCGAATTTTCGCATGAACTTCCGAAGTTCATAATACGACTTCATGCCATTATCTATGCAACTGTCTGTAATTGCACCTTGCCTCTGCACTCTTAGTAGCAGCTTCTAACTGTAACTTCCCTAGTTCAAATTCTCTTTCATTTTTAAAAGTATTTAATAATTCCATAACAAAACTCCTTTTACATACCTTGCTATCTATAATTATCCTTTTTAAATTTACCACTTAATATTTGGAACCATCTTCTTCCTAAGTTCCTAAGCTAACAATATTAAATATTCTTTTTTAGCTTTTCTACGGAAAGCCATTCTTAATACTCTAAAATATGGCTTCTTAACAATAACAAAAACTATTTTGCTAACTAAAGTACAACTTGTGCATGATTTTCTTAAAAACTTATACATTACAATGTCATACTCATAACTTTTGTATATTAACTGAAGGCATTCATTAAAATATAACCCATTTTTCTAACATCTATGCATTACCAATACTTCACTGTAACAATATTTCAACTATATATTTAAAACATTCCTAACAATAATACCTGTAATTCATTAGCAATTCCAAAATGAGTGTAAATGGCTAATTTCAAATTACTTATTAACAATTCTTCTAAATTGAATACTGATGGGAAAACTTTAACAATATTTCAAATTAACATTTTACTAAAAATATCAGTTTTCACAATATTTCATGATGTTGAATTCACACATTTAATCATATCAGCATAAAGTGAAAATAATTTGTACAGAACACATTCTAAATCTGAACTAATAAAAATGGCACTCTGTGTGCATGCAGGTGATACAGAATCAATAAATTTCTCACCTTTAGATTCACTGCAAGTCACTAATGAATTCTTTATCCGGTCAGCTGTGCCACTACATATTGATACAGCACTATTCGAAATACTTTGATTTGCTGGCTTTCTACTCACCATCGAAGAAACCCAAAGTGACCGAAAATAAAGTAAATAATATCCAGAAAACGCAAAGATGATAGCTGACGACTGCACAAGAATGTTTTTTTATTGACATACATAAAAGTCAAAAGCATAAATAATTTTCAAAATCAAATCACTGGCATATTATCATTATACACATCTTTCAACTCGCTCCCCCGACTGTTCTTGCTGGCAATGTTTGTATCTCCTGCCTTAGTGCCATTTCCCACAAGCTGGCAAAGCTTCTCTCTTCTTGGTGTATTCAGTTGAATCTTACACTGCCCAAAAGATAAAAACTTTGTGGCTACGTAATATTTACGCAAGAATTCCCAGAAATCCAAAAGAAGCCATAAGTCTACCATAGCCTGCTTGATGCTTGTTACCACTTCCAGATAATCCGCAAGTACCTTTTAAAAAGGTACTAGTTTACACTTTTCTTCAGTAATTTCTTAGTATGTAATTTTTCCTCTTTAAAAATCATGTCCACTAAAAGACTAATAATTTTCCTTAGATTTTTTTTTGATTGCTGAATTGGTTAGATGCATAAAATTTCTGCAGTTTTCCTTGTAAGCAATGTAAATACCAATTTTCCTCAGAAAATCCTCTATGCTTTGTTATATAATAATCTACCAATAAACCTTTTTTTAAGAACCCATTAGTCTGAGATTAATACAGAATAATTATGTATTATTTAATTTTTTTTTTAGATATGTGGGTAACTGAAAAAAATTACAAAATTTTCCATATGAAGCCATATATCAATAAATATCAGTTTTACATTATATATAATAATGTTACGGTATTATGAATTATGTATCTTATAATCATACAAAACTCATTCAACACTCACTCAGATAAGACATGAATACCAATAAATATAAACCAGAAAAATTGTCTCTAAAATATTAACAATAGGAGCACTAAGCTTATAAAACAAAACTTTTTATGTAAATCACATAAAAATGGTGCAAAATATAATACTGTTCACACTTTAAAAATAAAATTAAAACTACCTTTCTTACGATGAATAATTTTATCTTTGTGATACTAAAGATATTCGTTTTTTAATTTTTCATTATATATTTTGTACTAATTTTTGTTAGAAAATAACATCAGATGTTAAATTTTTGCATATACATTTCTACACATTGTAACTCACATTGAGTTAACTCTCAAATATTTCAGATTAAAGAAAGCAATAGGATAATTTAGCTATCTCGGGGTTAAAAAAAAAAGGAATTTTTATAATCCATTTACTCTTTACTGAATAGAGTAATGCATAAATATGTACAATATTTATAATCTTTAAATTATACTCCATGAATATTCATATAAACAATTTTATATGACAAAATAATATGCCTGTCAGCATTCAAACTCTATCTGTGGCCTTCCTGGCTGCTGTCAAAAGGCATTACGAGCAAAAAGGTTACCATAACATTTGGCCCTCTTCCAGCACCACTATAAATTTCAAATTTTCCACAGGCAACATGAAAAAATGCTATTTACACATTATTTTGTTGACTGTGAAACTGTCAGCAAGCAGACTTAGCACCAATATGGAGAAGCGTGACATACCAACACATTCTTAACATCCACACTTTCAAGCTTTGCTTCTTGATAAGTTAAGTTTTGTTTTTATCAGACAGAGTTGCAAATTAACTGTCATTGTTATATATTTCTCTTGCGTTTTAACAAATAAGTTAAATTTGAGATTTCTCTTCTAGAGAACCGGAATCAGTGGATTATTTTCAAAGTCATGGGAGACTAAAAAAAAGTGTAAATTGATAGAGACAATATGGTCAGCTGAATACGACTGACAAAACAATAATAGATTGGAACAATTACCTGCACGAAGTTTGCACTCCTAGTGTAACAGAACTTCCAGTAAAATTAAAGGGCCTAACAAAATAACAGGCCAAAAGGCTTTTTATGAAGCACAAAAACACATTGGATCAAATACTGATTGTTTATTAAATAAAGAGGCATAAGCTACTTCAGAGTTTTACAGGAGTGGCTGGCATAACTTCTGCAAAGTACGTAAATAATTTACTTTAAATCCCCCCCCAAGAAGAAACTGAAATATTTAAATGATATCAAAAGATTACCTGGTGAGCAGAAGAGCCATGAGCTGAGATAGGTTTGCAAACTGAAATGAAATAGAAAATATTACTTTTAAGCTAAAAAGAAAAAATAAAAATAATTTCATTCACAAATGCAATAAAGAAAATAAAACAATTACAAATATATTAATAAATTTTTTAATATTTTCTCGTCATTACCAATAGGGAATTCTACTCCAGCAGCTTTCATTTTAGACAGATTTTCAGACACATTTTGAGTTGTAAGTTCCACAAATGCAGGAATAAATATATCTTCTAAAATTGAAATATTAAAGATTATTATCAAAATTAATATTACTTACATTATATTTAAATTCATACTATAAATTAATCTTGATTAAATTACATTTTAACACATTGATTAACAATGAATAAAAACAATAATGATAATTACTGTAATCAACTTCATAAACCAACTATACAACATAGTTATTCAATACGAGCATAAAAAAAATATAAAAATTTATATAATTCAATTACATAAAATACATTAAATTAAAAACATGGTATACATAGACAAATTTTTGGTTCTAAAAAATACAGGTAAAATAAATATTACATTACATTGATTTCTTATATACTGAAAGCCAATAAATGAACTTATACATATAACTGAAAGCCAATAAATGAACATTACGTGTATTTACAAAGAACAATCAAGTTAAAAAACCCCTACTTCTTCCTCTAAGTTCACTTTCATCTACTAGTTTATACTGCCTATACCGATCCAGCAGATTACCAACATTAGGTAATGGATCAATGATGACAACATCTGGGTGATTGTTAGAATACTCCTGAAAAGACAATAGTTTTACCTTTCATAACAAGAAAGTACACAGCAGGACTAAAAAAATAGAGTATTCTTCAGCTTAATCTACACAATATATACACAAATTTACAAGTTTTAATTTGAATCTGTATGGACACTGCCAGGGGAGGGGGGGGGACAGTTCTATATCTCTTGTTCTACTGGGCGATTGACGAAATTCAACTTTTATTTTTCATGTCTTGAAAGTGCAACTTAGGATATGTATTACATTTATATATAGCATTGTTTATAGACCTTTTTCTGAAATGATATGCCAATTTTTTCCATATTTTGATTCAACGACACATATTATGTCAAACTGCCCAGTATTGCAAAAATTGCACAAGTAAATTTAAAAAAATTAGCTCTCAAAATTTTTAGCTCCTTAATGTTAATTGAATTTGACATATATTTATTAATATCTCTTACTTTCTTTCTTCTTTTAGAATTTGAAATTTAGGCTTAAAGCAAATATAATTCACACATTTTTTTATGATTTATTTTTAAAATTTGTATTTTTAAATACCTTTTATAAATTTTTCAAAAAAATTTTGTATTATAACCCATAAAATTTTTAACATCATCTTAAAGTAGATGTATTTTCTAGGTACACCTGCAAAAAATTAGAGTTTTTTTATTCAAATTTTCTAGGATTTACTTGAATTCACATATTGGCACGTTTCAAAATCTGGCATATAAGTGATAATAATGCCAAATGTGGTTCACACATTTTATTTTTGAAAGTATGAATGATGACTTTTTCCCACTCATTTACAATGAAAAAAGGGAAAGGAAAATAGGTTGCTATACATTAAGAAGTTCGCAAAGTAAATTATTCTTGGCAGAAACTTAAGAAAAAAAAAAAAAAAAAGCACCAAGATAAATTTTTGAATTTCTCCATAAAGTTTACACCAAATTTTACAAAATTTAATATTTAGGCATAATTTGAGTCGTAGAATTGAAATATGGGAAAAAATTGGCATGTTATTTCAGAAAAATCAAGTTTTGTGTCAAAATACCTATATTAGAACAATGCTGTACATAAATCTAATATATAGCTAAGGTGCGCTTTCGAGACATGTCATTTTAACAGCACTTAGCCCAGTAGAACAGGAGATATAGAACATTCCCCCCCTTTTCTTTGTGCAGTGTACTTATGCAGATGATCATTGAAGAGTAGATAAATAATTGACAATTCAGGTGAGCTTAATATACTTATAGAAGTACAATATCAATAAAGGAATGAAATATAAATGCATTAGGGAGGGAGGAAGAGAGAGAGAAAAAAATGAAGTCTAATGTAGTCTTCAAAATAAATTTCCAAAAAGAGATAAAGAGAGATAAGAGATAAAGAGACTGTAAAAAGTTTTCACACTTCTTGGTAAACCACTTAACTACTTTTAGTTAGCCGGAAGAACATGATTTTTATAAATCATAATCAAAGCATTTAACAATTACAGCCATGCACAAATAAAGTAGTCATCATTTGTGTAAAAAATAATCATATTCACTTATACTGCAGTTGACTGTAATTCAAAACTTACAAAGTATTATGGCATACCAGAAGAATATGTCTGACAGTTTTAGTTCAGCAAGCATTTTTTTAAACTAAATCCAATAATATAACACATTAATCTGCTTCATAATTTAACAATTATTATCAAAATTAAATCATAAATGGAATTTTAACAACTTTCTAAACATTTCAGAAGTTTTAGGAAAATTGAAATATTTTAACTGTACCCTATTTTTGTAGTATATAGATATATTAAGTATACATTTACAATAATTTTGCACAAAATTACATCACTGTTTGCATGCCTTACATTACCTGCCCCCATAAAATCCTACACATATGTGCATTTGCTTAATTGCTAAGGAAACTATTAGTAGCAACTGGGGAGAAGAATGATTTGATAATTGATTTAAATTATGAAATAATATTAGCGATGCATTTTAGAAAACAGCATCTCAAATGGTGACAACTATTTTAAGTGCTAACCATGTAAAGCTGCCATAAAAGACACTACAAAATACGTATATTTAAATCAGTGTTTCTCAACCTTTTCAAAGTTGCCGCCCCCTTAAGGAATGAGAAAGTTTTCAATGCCCCATTTGTGAAAATCATGTAATTTAGGTACAGAAAAAGGGGGTTCTGAATTATAAAATTCGAACTAATTTTTTTCAGTACCACCAAATTTGTTTGATTTAACTCGATAGTTTTGCCAGGAAGGTTATTACAATCCTTTTGTTAAGACTGAGACTAATCCCAGAAAAAATTGCTTAAACTATATTTTATGTTTAAAAATTCTTTATTCTTAATTAAATAATTAAAAAAGAACAGAAAAAAAAACTAAAAGGGTAATATCAATGAAACAAATATTATCATTATGATGTCTGTGCTTATGATTTAGAGCCAGTTTCTGAATGTTCGGTTCAATATTTTTAGACAGATGAAGGTGCAAGTCCCCCTTTCCACGATTCGGAGACGACTTCTCTCTCTCTCTCTCTCTCTTTTTTTTTTTTTTTTTTGTAATTAGTTCAATCACATCACAGCACTGATTTCTTGCTTGACAAGGCAGGAGGAAGGGAATTAACAATATTTGACGATAGTCTACAATCCTGGGATAGAGGCAACTGATCTTACTTTGAATCCAAAACTCCGTGAGAGGATCACCATTCTGGAAGATGGCTTTAAAGTTTCATTTGTTGAAAGTTCAACCAATTCCTCCTGAACTGAGTCTCTGTTGTCTCAATATTCATAAAAGGGTTCACGATCCACTGAGGGACTTCCAGAGACAAAATATCCTCAAAACGCTCAGAAAAGTCCTTGTGCAAAGACTAAAGGTGTTGACAGTAAACTAGTGTTTCATCAAAGACGATTTCACTGCTCTAATACAGATCCGACATGATTGAAAACTGGCTGAACTCGGCCATGACCTTTAAGAACTAATAATTTAAATTAATTACTTTTTTTGATAGTTATGTATTATCCCATTAACCGGCAGAGATTGGAGATCCTGTCAAAGTTGTGCTATTTCTCCGAATTCTGCATCTACGCACTACACAAAGGAAATATCTACTTATCTTATTCAGAAATTTCTGTGTCTTTAGTCTGTAGTATAAAAATATTTTAACAAAATCCAAAAACATTTATCAAACCATGTTCCCTTTTTAATGAAACGCTTTATATGGTAAGCACTTGAACCTTTTTTGCCACAAACCATTCAAATCCATCTGAACAATCTTTACGTTCGACCATACACATTTCCTTCATACAAACAGGACACTTATAATTCCGTTGAATTACATTCAACAAAGTTTCTTTTCTTCTGTCCTCAACCCCCCTTAAAAAAAATAATTAAAAAAAAAAAAAAACTTTTGCTCTCCGTTCTCTTTTTCTATATCACCAAACACCCAGTTTACCATTGGCAGTCATTTTACGATGGAAAGCACACAATATGCAATGCAGAAATAAGCCCTTACAAATATTTTCCCATCAGTCAAATTCATTGCAATCACGCAAATAATGTAATAATATGTTTTCCATAACATTTAACTACCCAGGTTACCATAAATGAAACAACTTGGCAATAATCCAAGGGGTCACCCTAAAATATAAGCTAACACTAATATTTTTTGGATTATATAAAAATTTATCTCATCGGTCACTTAACGAGACTATAAACGACACACAACGACACAGTTCAAATCACCACACACACACAAAGCAAGTAGATTTTCAAGCATGCTGAACTGATAAAGGGAAGAAAAAATTATATTGTGATAAATTTCATTGATATATATGAGCAATTTCACAGATTTGATACTGAAAGATTCATCAAAGGTAAAAAGGAGGTATCCAAATCAGAAGATATAAAAAGGCTAGCACAACAGAAGATTAAAAAAATAAATAATAAATCCACACAACCTAAGGTCTGAAGCTTATGCAGGTTTTGGAGTTGTATAGATTTAGAGTCATATCATTGCTTTTCCTAAATGAATTTGATGGCAGACACTTTGTCATTCAGTATTTGCCAAAGTTTTAAATCCACCTTAGTTCTAATACCAAAAGATTACATGAAAAATAGGTCAGTAAAAGTATATTTAAGGGTACCCCTTGGCGAAACTTGGATATTGAGTTTGTGCAAATCTTTGACTTGAGTAGCGGCGATTTTTGGTGCAAAAAATGCTGCTACGCAAGCCAAAATAACAAGGCAAGGAATTACGTAAACTCGGTATCCATGTATACATCGACCTATCTTCTCTTAAAAAAATAGCCCAAAATTGCACAAAAATCACATTGCACCCTCCTTCGACTTTACCCATGTACACAGCTACCTATTTTAACTTAAAAAAACATCAGAGAATTGCACAAACTAGGCTAAATCGCCACTACACAAAGCCAAAATAAAAAAACAAAGAATTGCACAAACTCTGTATCCATGTACACATCGACCTATTTTCACTTTAAAAAACATCCCAGAATTGCACAAAAATGGCATTGTGCACTCCCTTGAGTTTGTCCATGTACACATCAAAGTATATGCACTCCAAAAGTCAAAGAAGCAGCCAACAAAAAAATATATAATCTCAATAAACTACATTTTAAATCAAACACCGAAATAACATGAAAAAGGGAAACTCATCTTTGCACTACACAAAGGAAATATCCATTTACCTTATTTACGAATTCACACCTCTTCAGTCAAAGAAAACTCCTTAACAGCATCCAAAAACTTCTTAAATTTATCTGAACTAGAATCTGTATACTGGGGTCTTCACATAAATTCACAAAATAAGAGTCAAAAATATCCTTCGTAATGACGTTCGACCATACGCATTTCCTTCCTACAAACAGGACACCTAATAATGGCTACTAAGTAAATCTTCATTTACATACCAGTCAAGTAATGTTCTCTTCCCTTTTCTTTCCAAATCGTACAGAAACTTCAAATTAATCCTACCACATTTGGCGATTTTACCATCTAAACCACAAAACAAGCAATATACTTCCTAACCAACACACACGCAACCACAAGCCTAAACGAATTTACTGGAATGATTACACATCATAATAGGGTTTTCATAACATTCAACTACTTAGGCTACCATAAATGAAACAACAACTTAGCGATAAATGAAACAGCAACTTCGCGATAATACAAGGGGTACCTAAAGTCAACTCTAACTGAGAGGTCTGAATAAATTTATGTTTGGCCACAATGTTTCATGCCATTTGCAGTATATGGTTTCTAAGTTTGGCAAAGCTTCTGCACATTTTGGCAGCTGTCTTGTTAACAAAGGCCTACCAGAATTATCATTACTGTAATCTTAGAATTTGATTAAAGGAGTTCTTCATTGATAGACATATGTTTAGACTTCTGAAAAATTTTTTATTTGGTAACAATTATAAAAGCGATCATCAATGTAATATAGGCAGCTTGCTTTGATGCTGAACAACGAAATCTGTTACCAATCATGTTCAATTCACCGCTGGCATTAAAAAAGGTGTACAGATTTCAGATATTAGCAGTTTTGTACTTTATATGAATGTTTTATTCTTACAGATCCATACAAATTATACAAAATAAACTTTAGCTTATTCAAATAAACAGATTCAGTTCTTAATTAAAGTTACCTGAAATGCTTCACAGACTGCTTTCGACTCCTCATCACCCTTTGCAGCTTTTGCTATGGCATCAGATAGTTTATGCACTATAGCTGCAAATGGTCCTTGTTCTTCTAAAGAACGAGCAAGATCAATCTAAAAAAATAAATAAATAAATAAATAATGAAAGTTACGTTTTTCATGAGTCATATGTGATATCAGATTTGTTATTAATTATAAGTCAACTGCATAAAAGCCAGCAATACCTACAGTTGTCTCAAACTTTAGAAGAGGTGCCTGCAAGCATAAATATTAGTGAAAACACATTAAATTACATGTTGAAAATTTATATATAAATACATTTTCATAATGTAATATGTATATATATTTATATATACATTAATCCTTTGCAATCTTATTTGCACTCAAATTCATGTTCCACAATCAACATTTTACCAATTACAACAGTGATAAAAACTCAAATATTACATATCGCCAATCTTCCTTCAGGAATAATAAAGAAAGACACAGATGACTTGTGCCTACTAGATTATCTTAACATGAGTAATTGGGAGAAAACTTTTAGTAACTGTGAATATGAATGTAGACATAATTAATAAAAAAGTGGAAACAATTCCAACATGGCATGCCCCCCTAAAAAAGAAGCTATTTTTTCTATTAAAAAAAACGAAATTAATATAATTGGAATATTACATTTTCTTCAATCAACTTGAGAGATTTAAAAACATGGCCAACTTTCATTTGAAATAGTTTGGACATGACAATGGAAAGTAACTAAGAACTATCTCGCATTCATATTGATTAAGGTTCTAACGAAAAGAATTAGCGGTACTGTTTCTGTTATTGGGGGACCGAATTCAGAAATGTGTGAATGCATGAGGGTGTATATGCATACACACACACATTCATGCTTACATATATATATATATGCATGCACACATACATTTCTGAATGCAGTTCTGTTAACAGAACAGTACTGAATTATCTAATAATCAAAAGCTCAAACTTCATGCACTATATAACATGAGATCAAACCGACAAGGAAAAAAAAATTTTTAATAAGCATGCTGAGGAACGATTAAGAGAAGCTGCAAAATCCTGCTATGGCAATTCTCTAGTATGATTCGAATTTGTTGCAAAATATAAAGCTTAATGTACAAACATTTTGAATAAGCAGCAAAGCCTGAAAGACTGTGTACCTTATCTAGGTCATTCAAAATGGAATAACTGCCGCAATATCTAAAAATATTACTGCAGAAAGGGGGAAAGAAACTGTAACCTGAAGTTTTTAACTCTTTCGCATCGAAGTTGCCCAAAGCGCCCTAGCATTCAGATATCGGCTCGACGCCCGAATAATTTCCTACCCAGTGCTTTCCCCCATCGCGTTACTGCATTACTCATTGCTTTCAGGTGTTGTTAAATCACACGTCAATCATTCTTTGTTGTCAATTTCCTTGTTTCCTTTGTTCCTTCCTTTCCTTTGCTTACTGTCAGTGTTTAGCTTTTGATGCCCGAAGTTGCAATCCCAGTGTCAAAGCGTCGAAGAAAGAAGTTCTCGCTTTACTTAAGTAAGGCTATTGTTAGCGCTGTAGTATTCAACTTGTCATGGGGGAAGGAAAAGCATTCCAGGAGAAATTCTTAGATACGGGCGTTTTCGATGTTTGGGAAATTGAGATTTTGTCCTCTCTCGATGCGAAAGAGTTAATGAAGAATTTTTTGAAAATTTTATAAAAATGGAACCCCGCCCCCCAAAATATACTTAAAACAATTATACTTGTAATATATCTTTCAAATTGCTGTAGCTACTCACACAACAACATAAAAGGGAAAATCAAAGCTAGATAAGCTCATTAAAAAAAGGGGGAAGAAAGAAAGAAACCCAACAGTTTATTAACCCTTTGAGCGGCTCGGCCTTTTGAATCCATCATGAAGACCTGTATTTAAGCAGCCTTTATTAGTTAAATTTATATACTTACTTATTTAAATCTCTATTTTCATAAGCTCACAATTATTAAGATTATTAGTATTTATTACAATAATTAAGATGTCATTTATATTATTAAAGAAATTAAGAATGAGAAATATCTTAAATTATGATATACAGTGGTGGCCAAAATTGTGGACACTTGGAAATTTTTATGTTTTTGAACTTTCTATGCTTATAAAAAATGTTACGTTTCGCAAAATGCACACATGTAAAATTTTAAAGAGAATTTATTACTGAATTCAATACAAAACACAAAATTCAATTATTTACAATACAAGAAAAGTTATATGCACTTTAATATATATAAAAAACACAGTTATGAAGTGGTTTGTAATGTCTAGCTTTCCTGGCCTATCACTGTTCTTGTTCTGAGAACCAATCAAATGTTAGTAAGTGCCAGTAGAAGCTGACATCATGTTTACACTTGAAACAATTCATTATTTTGCTTTGTTCTGTAGAAGGAGGACCTGTTTCTCATACACTGCAATTACAAGTAGGAATTTTTGTAAAAATTTTTAATATTTAGTCAAGAAGCAATGACATCAAATAAAAGAGTAGATTGGACATCTAGAAAGAGATGTAATATTACTGTGTACGAGAAAGTGGTCTTTCCTATGCTGAAATTGCAAGACAGGTGTGTGGTTCAGTGACTACATCTGGAGTCCGAATCAGCAGATGGTATTGGTCCCCTTCATGTCATCGATGGGACGCTGAATGCCAGAAAATACATTGACACTATTCTAGAAAAAAAACTTTCACCTTCCATCAGAGATCTCTTTCCCAACAATGCTTCGTTTATTTTTCAGCAGGATTCTGCTCCTTGCCACACGGCCAAAATATCGAAAGAGTGGTTTTGTACAAAGAGCATTAAATTGTTGTCATGGCCAGGAAACAGTCCTGACCTCAATCCTATCGAAAATTTGTGGCACCGTTTGAAAACTCTTGTCCGAATGAGGCGCCCATCAAATAAAAGGAAACTAATTGAGGCTATAATTGTTTCCTGGCATCATGTAATAACAAAAGAAGAGCTTAAAACTCTTGTCAGCTCAATGAAATGTCGATGTGAAGCTGTAATCAAAAATAAAGGGTACCCTACTAAGTACTGATAATTCACTGCAATCATCACTATCTAATGTATATCGATAACTATTATCGTTTAACTTTTTTTGTATTGCAAATAATTGAATTTTGTGTTTTGTATCGAATTCAGTAATAAATTCTCTTTAAAATGATATATACAAGTTTGCATTTTGTGAAATGTAACGTTTTCTATACGCATACAAAGTTCAAAAACATAGAAATTTCCAAAAGTGTCCACAATTTTGGCCACCACTGTATACCAAGTGACAAAGAATCTCATAACCGGATAAAACTGTTCATGACACTCAGAGAGTTAAATACTTTGCTTTGTTGAAAACATGAACATCGGTTGCTTTTCAGTAACTTAACAACTTAACTTTCTTCATGAGGCACAACGGTTTAATTTTCCTATCTCCAAAATGTTGAAAAATTTTGACAATAAAAATAGGTGTGTGATGAATTCAAGAACATAATAATGCTTTGTGAATAATAAATGAATACAAGAGATCATTTGAGGTTAACAAGAATCAGCATAATATTTCTGGATTGCAGGATTTCGGGAGTTTAAATTTACAACTTTTAATCTTCAGCTGCAAAAGTACAAATGGCAATTCACCATCAAAGAGAACTTACAAAGAAAAAAAAATTAAGAATATATGATGAATGTTCGTATTTCCATCTGGTATTTCCAAAAATTTTACATTAAACTGATTGCAGCTAAATCTTATGAAGTATTTCCAGTTTTTGTGGGGGTGCACCTCTATCAATGACCAGCTTGCTGAGAAAGGGCATTCTATCTAAAGAAGATACAATTTCATTGCTTCATCAACCAGGTTGCTAGATAAGTGGCATTTAATTTTACACTAGCACATCAAGTGTTGTTATCTTTTTCTGCTTAGTGTAAGCAGAAGGAAATTAAGCTACAGTAACTGAAAGGATAAAAATTATTTTATCTCAATAACTATCAAAATATATAGCATATTTACTCATATATTCTTCTCCCTTTTCTACCTAATTTTACCACTTGACAACTAGGAAGGGAAAAATAAGAAGTGTACACTATTTCGGAACAGATGACTTAAATAATAAATGTACCGTATTAAAAAGCACACATAATACACTAATATAGTATAATAATGTATTTAAAAGCACTTATCAATTTTAATGATACTTCCCCCCCCCGCGACACAAAATATTTTTCTAGTTATGCATACATTTAAGATTGCTTTCATAAATCGGAAGTTTCTACAGCATGTGCTAAATAACTAGGCTAAGAAATATACAAATAAGTATGGCATACATAAAAAATAGTAATTGTTACCCAATTTAAAATGGATGATCTTTGGAATATGGTAACTGGTAGTTTGGCGACATTTTGGAGGCAATAAAGGTTACTACCTAGAACTTTGGTAATAATGCGAGATGCACTCAGTTCTGATTACGCATTATTTTGTGTGAGGGAAATGAGAGATCATGAGATGTCATATGATATTAATGGACGAATTACAGTTCTTTAATCGGAAAAGGGGGTTAATTTGGAAAGCTTCATTGTGTGTTGTGTGAAATAGTGTTGATTAATTTTTGGATTGCATGGCGCTATGTAAAGTGAATTCTAAAATTTTAATGCATTTATCTGATAATAATAATGAGATTGTGTGAAAGGAAGGATATTACAGTTAAATTTAAATGGCGGTGCAAGAAATATGGTGAAAATGGACATTTTGTGAAAAGGAGTGTAAGGAAGGGTACGTTGTTTGCTGAAAGTAGTTTGAGTATAGGTGAAATTTTATTAATTTCTTATTACTTGGTGAATAGACTTCCAGTTGACTACTGGATTTAGGATTTAGAAATTAGCAGTAGTACTGCAGCCACGTAATGAAGATTCTGAAGAAGATTAGTTAAGTTAGTATTTTTAATCATTTGAGGATATTATTTTTATGCATTGTTCTAAATGTAAGGAGTAAATAAATTAATGTGGTATTATTGGAAAATTGTTATTAGCAATGATTTAGTTTAAAGTAATTAGGATTGTAATCTAATTTTTATTAATTTAATGTATGTGCTTATTTATATTTTAAGTAGTGTTTTTTAATTTAATTATATTTTAATTTAATGATCATGATTTTGTGAGTTATATATTTGTAGTATTTTGGAATACGTTTGAGTAGTATACGTTGAATATTTTCATGCATTTTCGTGAAATTTTTCTAATTTATGACAAAAAAGCAGTGCACATAGATATAGTGAAGAGTGTGCGCAATGCCATTTTTGTGCAATTCTGGGATGTTTTTTAAAGTAAAAATAAGTCGACGTGTACATGGTTTAGTGATATTTTAATTAAATGATAGTTATTTTGTGAATTTTATGTTTGTAGGAATTTGGTATACGTTTCAGTTGAAGTAAACGTGTATGGAAAAATTTAAATATTTGACACTAAGTATTTGTAACTATTTTTAATGTTTGCATATAAATTCGTTAGTGACATTTATACTATAATAAATAATTTAGAGATAAAAGCTTTTGGATATTTTATTTATTTTATATGTGGAAATGTTCATCCTTAGAAAGGGTATGTACTTTTTTGCGATCAGGTAATTTCATATATGTGCTTTTTATCGAGTTTAAATAGTAAGAAAATTTTACTGCATTTTCGTGCAAATTTTTGTAATTTATGAGAAAATAGCAGTGTAGATGGATAAAGTTAAGAGTGTGTGCAATGCCATTTTTGTGCAATTCCGGGATGTTTTTTTAAGTAAAAATAAGTCGACGTGTAAATGGTTTATGTGTATGTGCTATTCTGAAAAATGCGCAAGGAGTTTGCGATTCTGCACTTTTTCCCAATTTTGCAGTTAATATTTGTCATGATTAAGCAGTTTTGTTACATAAAATTTCTAGCATAAGTGTAATTCGGATTGTTGGAAAAAGTGTTCAGTAAAAAGAAAAGAAACATGTCTTTACTTCGTGAAGACAAAATGGTGGCGAAAAAAAAAAAAAAAATAGAGGTTTGCTGTAGCAGAAATGGTCGCCAAATTTTCGCCAAAAAATCGCCAAGTTTACCATAATCCAAAGATCAACCTTTAAAACTAATGAATAAAATAATCCTTTATGTACACAAGCTAAATTATTTATTAAGTGATCATGTGCAATCTGTATAATCACGCTCCTGGCAGAAACATTCCATAAATTACCCAAATAAAAGAAGTCTGTTATTTAACTCATAAGTATGCTATTTAATTTACATGTTAATTTGTTTCTGCAGCCATTTAACATTCTTGTTGATCACGGTTCATTGCCACATTTCAGGATTTATTTGTTTGTCCAAAGCCCAATGTAACTTTAACACTTAACGGATGAGTCATCATGTAAGGATTATATTTATTTATTTATTTAGCCAACACTTCCTTTCCTATCGGTTCTTAATTTCAACTTACCACTTCTGGCCAGAACGTAGTTTTAGAATCACATTTGAATGCAAATGGAGGAAGAGCCATATTTAACCACAAAGTTCTACTGTCTTAGTCAGAGAGAACCAGAGATTCTGGCTAGTATGCATTCACTTTTTTAGGCTACTCTCTCTTAGACTATTATTATGCTCGGCCATACTTTAGGCACTTGATAGCTTTGCAGTCAATTAACGTTAAGAGGCCAACTCCATTAGAATCTTGATAACTTCGGCTATATCTTTTTAGTTAAGATTAGTTAAGTTTTAATTCTTAATTTCCTAAGCTCGAGTGTTGGCTTTATAGTAAAACTACAAGATGGAGTTCTGTTAAATCTTATTTGAATAATTTCCAAGTTTAATTATTGTCTCACGAACTCAAGCGATTATTCGCTTACTAGTTCTTAATAAGCACACAGTACAGAATTTTTATAATGTAACTATGTTTTTCCAATGTACCTTCCTAGAATGGGCCACATAGATTTATGTTTTTGCTTGAATTTTCAATACGCTGCGTTAGTTTTTCATCTTATGCACACTGTTATTATTATTTTTTTTTTACCATTCCTTATATATATAGTAAGTACTATCTGTCTGTTGACTATACTACACAATTTTGCTCTTTAGGTAGTATTTTTAAGTAATTTCATAACCTTTAGAATGGAAAGCATGAAAGTGTTTTTAGTGGAAAATAAAGAAATCTGTGAGGAAATTTAGCATAGAAGTCATCTGGTGTAAGACGTGATAATGAATCAGAAAATTATACGCAAAACAAGCTATATTAATCAATTCTCTGTACAGTTTTACTTCACAAAGGTGAATGTTTTACGAAATATCACACTGTAAAAACTACTAGATGTGTTGATAAATATTATAAGAAATTGTGTTGAATTACTGAAACTACAACCCTTAAAAACTTACATATATGTTTATCTAATTCTAAAACATGCCGGAAAACCAAGAAAGGCAAAGGCAAAGATTCAACCCATCTGTCTAGTGTTAAGAATTTTATTCCCTCTAGCATTCACATCATAACAGTTGTTTGGTAGCCATTCACCTCATAGGATGGCTGAAGACACAAGACTCATGAATTCTATTTAAGCAGGACTACTACCTCAATTACTCATTGCAACACAGTAAACAAAATATAAATTTTAAAAGAAGAATGCAGATTAATTCTCTTTAAATTTAATTGCTTATGGTTTTGCAAAAAGTGTCTGAATAAAAACCACCATTTTACAAAATAAATAAGCACAGGGTTAATTAAATAAAAATTACATACATCAATTTTATGTAATGGTAGCTATTAGTGGAGTGCAAATGAATAAATAAAATATTTTAAATATACAGTACAAATAAAGTACATTGACTATTCAATTACCTAATGCTAAAATAACAAAAAAAAATCATAATGATTACATCAAGTCTTCTCTACCTTCACTTACAATATTATCGAACCAAAATGGCAATGGCATCATCTCACAACCTACTTTCAGAGATTTATAAAACAAAGCTTCAACAACATCACAAAAAAATATTGATAGTAGATAATTTATTCTCACCTTAACAAGCTCCAAACCAGAAGCACTGAAAATATGAGAGAACAATTACGTTATCATCATGATAAAACAAGAGACTAACAATAACACATTATAATATATATATTAATAGATACGATTTTTTTATTGACAATTTTAACTTAGAACCATTAACCAACCGATAACTTGTAATATATAACTTTTAATTTTCAATTTCTCCTCATAAGAAAACAATTAACGAATGCAATATTCATAGACAAATTTTCGATTACAAAAAGCGATGGATATTCATTTGAAATGTTACACAAAAATTACACCAAAAATTAAAAAGCTATCAACAACTTCAAGGTATATAGTTTTTGATATGATGCTTACCGACATACACTTGCAAATTCACCAACATTGAATTTTCGGCTTTTCTTCTCGCTCCACCAATATCCGACTCGTTTGATAGGAAATGAATTCATTTCGATTTAAGATTTTAAAAAAAGCTCAACTAAAATACTCTAAATATCAGAAATAAAGTTTTATTCCAATGAAGAGTAAGGTTAGTATTCTGAGAGCTAATGCTGATCACACTATCTGAAAGACAATTTGCATCCGGTACAAAATCAAAACATACTTCATCCACACCCATTCGCACGGTTGACAGCTTGTATTTGTTAACCTGACTAATCGATATTATTTTAATTCTCAATAATCTTTATTTCATACGTGCAGTTGCACAGCAAAAAGAAATCAGGCGAAACCGCTCCTTGAAAGAAACACAATCTCTATTTCATAAGCATCCTCCCTAACACGGAAATTCCGCCTCTCCATAAACATAAAAGAATTATCGTTATAATTTCGTTGCCATTTACCAAATACCTATCAAAGAATCCTTAGATTCTTTGTACCTATTTCCTTCAGTTGTCAAGAGCTCTTTAGAACAAGCTGAATTTTCACTATCTTAATTTATTTCTGTTGTTGGAATCGTTTACAAAAAGGGATTTCCCTATTTTAATTTATTTTCGATGTTGGAATCATTTTCAAGAAGGAATTCTTGTTGCAAAACGATACATTTTTCATGAGGACAAAAAATTAAAAGAAGAAACAAGTTTAGACTTTTATTATATAGTTTTAATGAATAATAATATATGAACAATAGTAAACAACCGTATTAAAAAGAAGACAGAATCGATATATTTATCGAAACTACAAGATAGCACGAAAATAGCAAAACATAAGAATCCAGAAGTTGTACTGTCCGTTCAAAATGACATAAAGTCAGCTTCACAGTCTGCAGAGCATCACAAATCTTAACAAACTGAAATACTCACCTTCATCGTAAAAGGAAATTAAGAAAATTTGGGACTTAATTTACATAAACCAATATTCAATTCAAATCAATGGATTATCCCAAAGAATCAGCAAGAGTCATAGACTTAGTGTGCAGAAAATATAAAAAATCTCTTATCGCACTGCGATGATATCAAAGTATGCTAAATACATTAAAAGGATTAAATAGGAGGAGAAGCGTTGTGTCAGCTACGGATAGTGAATAAAGCCTAAATTCAGGGATTAGTTCTCACTTAATTGTCATATTAAGCCTTATTATATATTATTCAAACAAATTCTTCAAACCAACAGTTGTTGTGGCCAGGAACACGACGGAAACTTAAGCGCGTTTACTCATAAATCCAGGAGAGAGTAAATTTATCAATATGAATCAGTGTTAATCAGTGATGTATCTGGTCACGTTCATATTTAGCGTAAAGTACACCAATGTGAAACTTAAAATTAGGCAAAACAAAGACTTTAAAACATGAACTTAGTTATCATAGCAAATTTAACATTGATGGAACAAAATTTACTGCATTTTCATGGTAAATATAGGCGTTTATATACATTTTCCTTCTTTCACTACATCATATGAAGATCCTGAGACATATTTTAGATAAAACGTATTTCTGCTCACACCTTCCATCAGGTTACAGCAAGATATCTAGTTGGCCTTGGTTACAGGCAGAGGATGAAAAAACTTATTGTGTACGAAATGCCTGTTATGTCAGAGAAGGAAATAAAAATCTACTTCTATTTCTATTCTCATAAAGTTGCAAAGTATACTAAAAAGTGTTTCAGAAACCGTTTTGGAATATCATCTAGTGCTTTCTAATTTCTGCAGAATCAGAAAAATTCCTTAGAAGGATTTGTAGCGCCATCTATTAGCCATTATAAAAGTTTATCATAATTGTTTTGTATGATGTCACTTGTTTAGATAGGGGGTCCGAGTTTGTGTTTATGAATATTAGGAACGTGGAAAGTTACTGAATGGTTTCCTTGTTTACGCAACGCGTTCTTTTTCGTTTCTTCAGTTATGTACAAGAGTTATGTTTCGCTGTCAGATGAAGGTCTCGTAATTTCGTTCTGTTCTTTTTTTTTTTTTTTTTTTGTCTTAAGCTGTAAATAATATCAGATAAAAATGAAAACTTATGTTCAAGGCTGCTCCATATTTATAACGTTTTTTCGCTATTTTAAGTATTAAATCGGCATCTGTCGGCAAAATCTATTGAGAATAGTAATGTTTGCTGAAAAACCAAACATGCTCGATTTCTAGTGCTTTTTTATTAGAACATGCAAAGCAAGCGATATTAATCAGCTGTTTTAAGAGTTTCGCGATGAAATATGCAGCTACCGATTAAGGATTGTTATCACGGGCGAATCGCCCAGCCTAATAGGATGTCAAATGTGTCAAAAATTAATTTTAAATGGATATTTTCCAAGCTCTGATACAAAATTCCGAACTACTTCAGAGATGTCCTCTTCTGCTTGACCAAAATTGCATAAGTTACTAATGGAAACAAATGAAATTAGTTAATGTATGTATCATTCCTGAAGAACAAATGTAAGACTTTACTACTTTGTTATGTAAAATTTTATCATTGATTAGAGACAGTTTTAAAAGAATGCTTGTTTCAGAAAACTTCCTATGGAACTTTTGAATTTGAAAGAACAAACTCGTGAGATATTCAGAATTCACAAGCTATTTCTTTAAAATTCATGCAAATATAAATTAAATTTTGCCTTATTCAGAAATTAAAATTCAGAAACCACAGATATTTATAATTGTACCTTACTTTGACAGTGATTTTGATTGAAAATTTATATTGAGTTTAGAGATTAAAAACCATGACATTTTTTTACGAACAATCCTGAAGATATGGAGCAGTTTTAAAAACGTCAGATTAGAGTAAAATTTGGCCAGTTGTGTATTATAGGGAATCATTTTATTTCTCATATATTTGACTCCTTTGCTCAATTGCAAATTATTGCTCAATTAAAATAGGTTGGTCAGGAAAAAAAAAAATTAGAAAACTTTTAATGGAAGAGTATTCATGAAATAAAAAAAAAAAAAAAAAAAAAAAAAAAAAGCAACATTACGCTTTAAAATTTATTTCTTGTCTGATTTTATTAATTTAACAATAATGCAAGTTTTATTTCATTTATAGGAAACAAATAATATTTTTTCCCCCAGAGCATAAAAGATATAATAACCTGAATGTTTATTATGCAGGTAGTACAATCAGTCATTGTGTATTCAAGCCATTACAGAGCCTTATCAGTGATGCTGGAATTTATGCTTACTGCGCTATATGTGCTAAATCTTTACACGATCTCTTCAGTGAAGACTGGAACAGGTATTTTTCTTTTGTAATTTTCTTTTTCAGTATTTTAATAAATACATTGTAACTACCATTGAAAAATTTCAAAATGTAGGACATTCAACTATGATCTCTTCAATGTTTATTCAACCAGGTATGATTCAGATAGGTTTTTTTTTTTTTAAATTTATTATTTTTATGGTGGTTATTTGGTGTAACTTCAGGTTCCTTTGATTGGATTGGGTTAAACAAAGCCTAGAGGGGATGTCTTGTGCTGTCTCAATTTTGATCAAGAATATTCCAAGTAAAAAAATGTCTACAGTATACTGTGCATCAAATATTGTATCAATATTTATGTAAGACAAAAGTTTTGGTTCTGATAAATGTTTTCTGAGATGAAAAACTGACAATTTCATCTCCCCATATATTGAAATCTTAGAAAATCATATTGATCAAAATTTTTTTTTTGTTTTTGCTGTAAGTTGTTGTTTGCTTATGGTAGCTTCAAACAGGTAAATAAAAGCATTAAAAATGTGTGTTTTTCTAACAGAAAACTCCATAGAAGGCTACTGGTAGAATTTAAAATTTCTCCAATTTCTTATATAGACATTTAATTAAAAAATAAAAAATTTAGAGGTACCAGTTTATACACTGACTACCAATAAGTATTTGGACACCCATGCAAATGACAATATCTGCGGTCCTAAGGTACGTCACGGACTCCGCCGGTATGTATTGTGTAGGAAACAGCATCGGCTTTAGTCGCATGCAAGATACCTCGCAGTTCGGAGCTCTCTGATTTCGAGAAAGGTATAATTATCGGGTATTACAAATGTGTCCGATCCTTAAGGGACATATCTAGCGATCTGAAGTACCCAAAATCAACAGTGGCGTATGTGATTAAGAAGTGGAAGGGGAGGGGTGATTGTTGGAATGTGCCCCGAGTCGGCAGACCAACGAAACTGGGAGATAGAGACCGTCAAATGCTATCCAGAGAAATTCGGAAGAACCGCACCCAACTGATGGCCCTCATCCGGGAGAAGTTTCAACAGGCATCTGGGAGTATTGTTTCAATGAATACCATCCATAAGGAAGCACATCTGTTTGGATTTCACGGTCGTGCTGCTGCCCATAAGCCTTTGATCACAAAGTCCAACCGCGCTGCTCGGTTAATGTGGTGCAAAGCACATCAAAATTGGATTGTAGATCAGTGGATATGGGTTCTTTGGAGCGACGAATCAAGGTTCACCCTTTACCGTTCGGATGGCAGGGTCTGGGTGTGACGTCTACTTGGAGAACGTCTCCTGCCAGAATGCATTCTGCCAACAGTCAAGTTCGGTGGAGGTGGAATTATGGTCTGGGGGTGTTTCTCCTGGTATGGGCTGCGACCCTTGGTCCTCATTCATGATAAGCTCAACTCCGATGCTTACTGCTCTATTTTGCATGACAATGTGCTTCCTACGTTGTGGCAGTTTTACGAGTTGGACCCCTGTTACTTTCAGAATGACAATGCCAGTTGTCATGTTTTGACGTTAACCAAGGCTTGGTATGGTGCCAATGAAGTTCATTGAATGGACTGGCCTACCCAGAATCCAGACCTGAACCCTATCGAGAACCTCTGGGACGAGTTGCATCGCCGAATTCAGGGGTGCACTACCCGTGCAAAATCGGTGAAGGAACTTCTATGTCTTCTCCAAGCCGAGTGGAAGAAAATACCACTAGCTGTAATACAAAGACTTGTGGCAAGTATGCCCCGGAGGGTCCACGTTGTAATTACCTCTCGTGGAGGCTCTACCAACTATTGATTTTGAATAAAGTTAGTTTTTCTTTTCTATCACAGGTGTCCAAATACTTATTGGTAGTCAGTGTATTTGATGTCAGCCAGTATTTGGATGCAGGATCATTTGCTAAAGGATGACTTAAAATTTATTGCTTTTTCCTAAGAAATAGCATTAGTTGTAATTGCTATAATGATTTTGATTTTACTTCACTAACATTTTATGTTCTCTTGCTGGAAATGGCATATACTTAATATTCTCAAAAGACTTTAAGTTTTTAATTTAGCTTTATTTAGCAAAAGATGCAATTTGCTGCTGTAAATGACATTTATGAAAACAAATTTTGTTATAATTAAGATAGCAAAAGATAAAAATATGCAGATTAGAGGTATGATAGAGAAGATTTTAGTATGTTTGTAGAGTCATTAGGTTAATTGGAAGCAGAAAAGATAAAAAATATGCAACCGCCTTCGCCGGGAATCGAACCACGGACCTCTGGAATACCGGCCCAGCGTGCTACCGATACACCATGAAGGCAGGGAAGTGGGAGAAATACCTTATATACTCCCCTTTTTAAAGGGTGACTAGGGTTTTAGGGGGCCTAGTCACCAAATTCTGGGTGTGGAGAATCATCATCCAACACCATTTTAGTTCGGGCGCCACTGTAGAGTCATTAGGTTAATTGGAAGCAGAAAAGATGAAAAATATGCAACCGCCTTCGCCGGGAATCAAACCACGGACCATTGGAATGCCGGCCCAGCGTGCTACCATTACACCACGAAGGCACGGTAGGGAAGTGAGAGAAATACCATATAGTTTAACGGAGAGAATTTTAATCATTTTTTGGAACTCTGAGGAAATGGGATTCACAAACTAAATTTTTGCATAATTATTTTAAATCAGTTGATGAATTTGACTGCTGTTTTATTGCCATGCTGTATTTATCTCACTGTTTTACTGGAGAGCACAAAACATAAAATTGTAAAATATGCTTAAAAAAGTGTGATCTGTTAGAATCCACAAAAAACTTTCTATGTGATATTGGTCATTCTTTGGGAAATGAACTGATTGAGATTTTGCACAAAAGGAAAATTTTTATGCAACCCTTGCTTATCTTAGATAATATATCGATTTTGAAAAATTAATGTAATATGTGCAAGTTCTTAAATTTTGGTCTATAACTTACTACACTGTGCTAAAGCCTTGATTTTTTATTAAATCTGGTTAAAATTTACTCTACGATACCCTTTGGTGAATCGTGTCTTTTTTGAAGCCAAGATCGGCACCAGGAAGGATCAGCAACAATTTCAAGATGGTGCCAATCCTTCCGGCCACTACACAAAACCAAAACAAGAACTCAATGACTTACACAAACTTGTACACTTCAACCTATTTCAATTAAAAAAAAAAAAAATCAGAGAATTGCACAAACTAAGCATTGCGCACTGTCTTAACTTCGTCCGTGTACATATCGATCTATTTTCACTTAAGCAAAATCAGGAAGCTAAAACAAAGTTAAAACTATCATGTTAACCAGAAAAAGCATTTGCCGCTGTCTTAATACTCAGAGACGAACATATAAACAAAAATACACAAACAGAGAGTAATAAATAACTAAAAATACATATTTCCTAACATAAAAACATTAAACAACACACAAAGATGAATAAATAAATGAAATGTCGATTTTTTAACATACTTTTTTCTCACGTGCGTGCGTTCACGCTTCCCACCATCATCTTCCTCATCCTCCACATAAGCAATTCAATTCCAGTTATGGTTGCTTCTGCTCATCCGCTGTTAATAGTGGATAAATATGTATAATAGCATCCAAACCATCAACATTCATCCTCTTATTTTCCTCAGACATACTCAAATGATGGTACCCACCTCAAAATACAACATCAATGCACCTGCAACCAAACGCAGCAATTGAAAAGAATGGTAAGAATAAAAAACCCCGGTCCATACGAAAGGCTTACTATTAAAAAAAAATAGCCAAAATCTCAATTTATCTTAACACGTTTGGCAATATTCGCAGAAATAATCTCATTTTAATGACAAAAACGAAAAAAGCTTACAATTTTCGCCAACATTATGGTTACCGAAAAACCTACTTCACGCAACGGGCTTCCAGATTTCACGCACAACCAATACCACATGGCGATTTTTTCAGACAGAAATCAAGGGGTACCATACAGTAAAGATCAGCCTTAAATCTTTAAACTCACATATGCTTTCATCATATTTTAAGCATATGTGCCTAAAATCACGTATGCTTTCATCGACATAAATTATCATATCCTTTCAGGTTAAGTAAAAACTAGCTAATTCTTTTAGTATCAATTATGTTAGAATTGAGCACATTTGAAGTCTGTAAATTTACTGTTTCATTCAGACAATGCTTCAAACATAAGAAACTGCTCAGAATTCCAGTCAAGTTGTTTGCAAGAGTGACATTGCCCAGTGGAGCAAAAGGGGTAAAATACTAAAACATAGTACAGTAGAATTCCAATTATCTGAGCTAATGGGAACTGGGGCTAACTTGGATAAGCAAAAACTGAGATAACACAAATTGATTAAAAAAAAAAATAAAAAAAAATTGAATACTATAATCTTATTGTACATACTATAGGAAATTTACTAACATGTAGGATTAATGCATGTAAATAGTGAAATAAAATACATTTAAATGTACAGATATACACATAGTACTAAATATGATACTATAAACTTGAAAATATATATCTGTAATATAAATGAAGTTTTGTACACACTTTTAAAAAAATCAGTTACAGTCCTCTGCAACTTCTGTCGACTTATATGTGGGTATATATGGTAGATATTTTATACACAATGGCTTTGAAGTTCTTAGAAAGATAATTAGGAACATGGCGAGGGAATGCGGCAATCTGAACTTAAGTTGGGAATTCCAGGTAACTGATGTAAGAACCACTGTACAGATTTTTCATGTGCAGGTAATCTTCCATCTGCAATAACTGAATGCATCGCAGATAAAATAGATTTTTATCTACTAGATGTGGGTATTTTCTGCTTATCTGCAACCCGGGTTTCAACGTGCAGTAGAATTGCCATGTGTTTGGTGAATTTTCGAGTATACCTGCAACAATAATCGACTTATATATCCACATTCCATTTATGTATTTGAGAGCAAACATATTTATAGGCTTTATATTTGACTGTCTTTTCATTTAATAATAACTACTTGTTGCAAAAATACAAATAGAGGGCATATAGGTGTATGCATTTTTTTCTCATAAAGTTTCTTGGTTCGTATATGATGCTTTGTTCCAATGTTATTTATAAACAGAATGGTACTAGTGAATCATAACATTAGCCAAACAAATGCTTTTTGTCAATTCACAAAGTCTGTAATAAATACAACTTTTGTTACAGAGTGCTGATAGTTTATATAGTTTTATAGTGTAGTTTTATAGTGCTGATAGTTTTATAGTGCTGATAGTTTTTGCTACAGAGTACTGATAGTTAGAAAGTAGCAGCGGATATAAGGTCCTGGACGTGTGCAACATGTCTTACTCTGTCATAAGTTGCTCCCACTGCATATATGTACCTGGATTACTGTCCACAGCATACTTGATCAAAGTTTGAGCTGATCTTTGTTTTTCAGGTATTCTGTATCCTGAAAGAACTATGTTCAAAGCATGTTAACGTTGATATATAAAAAAAAAAAAAAAAAAAAAAAAATTGTTGCTGTAGTGTATGTCTTATTGGGTACCATTCTTATTCATTCTTACAGAGGCAATGTCATCAACTAACCAATGCACAAAGTATGTTTGCCAATTCAGTATTCGTAAAAAATTGTATGTTCTGTGTGTGATGTTATAAACTTTAAAGAAGAAGTCTCAGGTTCCAACTTAGAGCACTTACATACAGTACATGAATATAGTTTATACTGATGTTATATATTTCCCACTGAAGTTCTTAGTAACCTAGATTACAAATATTAAAAATGGTGTATTCTTAATCCACTAAATGGCTAATCTTTGGAATATGGTAACAGGTAGTTTGGCAACATTTTGGTAAGGCGATAAAGGTTACTAGCTAGGACTTTAGCAGCGTACATGGATAAAGTCAAGAGTGTGTGCAATGCCATTTTTGTGCGATTCTGGGATGTTTTTTCAAGTGAAAGTAGGTCGACGGGCACATTGGGTACCGTGTATGTACAATTCTTAAAAACGCGGCAAGCAGTGGGCGATTCTGCACTTTCTCCCAATTTCGCACCTAATCTTCATCATGATTAAGCACTTTTGTTCCATAAAAGTTCTAGCATAAGCATAATTCGGCTAGCAGATTGTTGGGAAAAAAATGTTGAGTTAAAAAAAAAAAAAAAGCCTTTACTTTGTGAAAACAAAATGGCGTCTAAAAAAAAACTAGCAGTTTGCTGTAGCAAGGTTGGTCGGCAAATTTTCACCAAAAAATTTTCAAGTTACCATAATCCAAAGATTAACCAACTAAATAAAAGTATATTATAATTTGAAATATTACTATGTTTAATTTATATGAGATGCTTCTTATTGTCATTGCCAAGGATAAAATAATGCTAGAGCTGGATCAATTTCTTCTCCCTTTGCTTTATAGTGAATACATTTTGAAGTATGAGTAAATTGATTGAGAATTTAATGGTATACATTTTATTTATTATCATTATTTAATGGCAAAATATTTTCTTTTCTTGGTATAATTTCATTTGTGAATTTGAGTTTAAAAAATATTAAAATCTTTAACTTTCTTTTAGGGATTTCAGGGAACAATGCTTATCACGTTGTATAGCTCGTGTTGGTTTACCAGACCAGGTATATTTAGACATATTATAAATTGCTTGAGTTTTATAACATTATGTTATAGTAGAAGTTTATTTTTATAATATATAGCTGTATTCAGATTTATTATTTTTAGTTGAAAAATGCAATTTATGCATTTTTTCCCAAGAAATGTTTTATTAAATATGGAGTTTTAATAAATTGAAGAAGTGGTTATATTTATAATGTTAAATGCTGCTCTATTCAGCTGAAATTTTTTAGACTCATTTTATAATGAATTGCTAAAATTTCAGCAAATTTTGCTAAATTTTTCATAAAATGCTGAGTGACAAAATATAGAAAGTTATTATTTATAATTATTATATAAAACTTCTGTAATAACAATTTACAGAGAAAACTCGAATATCCATCCTTCTTTTGATCATCAGTGTATATCTGTCTGTCCCTAAAATAATGTGGACAGAATGAATCCATTCCAAAAGGAAGTATAAAAATGCGTATGCAAATGAAAATGCAATAGTAATTTTAGGGCCGCATTAGTTTGGAATGTTACTAGTATTTCAAACCATATTATTATTGGCAGAATAAAGGCCATATTATTTATTTTAAAATTACTGTAGTACATTGTTTAACAAAATTATGCAGGAAAATTAATATAATTAAAAATTACTCAATTTGATGATTACATTGAAGTTTGATTATGACAGTATAACTGTGTTCCTTATAAAATTGCATTTTGTTACCTGAATGAGTAGTTAACATAGGCCTATACATTCGTGTTTTTGTAGTATTTTCAGTTAATGTATGCATTTTCATTCTATCTCTTATTTTACTTAGGCAGTATTTAAAATAACAGAGAACTTTTGCTACTTTCTGATTATCTGCGCCCTCAACAAAATGTTGTGAAAAAGTATTCATGAGGCAAAGCAATTTGTCTCCAGAATAGTTATATGGCAACCCATGATATTAATAAAAATGATTTGTGTGGTGTTCTGTCTTGGTTAGAATATTTCTGTCTATTTGTACTGACTTAACATTTGCAGTGCCATGTAATGTCAGTAGCGAGTGCCCAGTACTAATCAGTAAGCGATATGGCTGCACTCGATCCACACCGAGTCTCCATTCCTCTGCCCGAACAAAGCGGTAGTCAATTGTTAATTGTTCCTTACTCACTCCTTGCCCGTTTAAGCGGCATTACTGTGCTTGAAAGAAAATAAATGTTGTTAAGTTTCTCATCTTGACTTTTATGAATTAATATACAGTCCACAACTACCAATTGCTATCAACATTTTGAACACATTCGTCGCATAAATAACTACCGTACTCAGACAGAGTTTCCCGCCCCGGACGTGGATGCAAATCTATATACTGCTTGCTGTATATTGTCACCCGAAGCTTCTTCAGAGGGGTTTGTTTTCTCCTGGTTTGACGGAAGGCAGGGAGTGTCTGTTGGACACTAAGGGTCATTGTTCCTATGGAGAAGGCAATGATGTTTTCGGGAGCAGTGGCTGCACGAAAAGTTTGAATTGCTTTCTCTGGAATGAGTTTTTAAAGAATTCGCACATAATTTTTTATTTTTGACGATAATGAGCCTATTTTCAACATTCATTTGTTTGAATGAACTACATTTAAAGAGAGCATGGTTTCCTTTACAATATATACATTTTTTTTAGTTAGAATTAATTGAATTTATAACAAAACCTTTTGGTTTTGCACCAATACTGGGTTTAGGAGGAAATTTGATAGGCATATTTTTATGAGTGCTTTCTAACACCAAAGTTTGATTTTCAAGAAAACTTAAAAATTCATCAAGTAATGGAACATCTTTGGATTTTAAGGTGAGCTCAAATTGCTTTTGAGTTTCCTTGTAAATTTTCTGCAGGAGAATATTTATTAACATTGTGTTAGATAGCCTATAAAGATCGTACTCTAAGGTTTTTAAGGCGCGTAGATTGTGTTTAATATTATCTAATAACCAGCGAAGTTCCTTAGGTGATTCTTGCTGAATTTGCTCTTGGTTCAAAATATTTTGGATATGACTATCCACTATCGCTTGTTTATTTTCGTAACGTAATTCTAAAGCTTGAAACAGTGATTGGTATGTAGCTTCACAATTCTCGATATTTTTTGCTTCTCCTTTAAGAGCAGCCTTTAAAAAGTTAGTTTCTTATTTTCAGCAATTAAGAATATAAATTGGGATTTAAAATCATGAAATTATTCATATTTTCCAGAGAACTGAGGTAACGGTATTTCAGGCAATTTAACATTAATATTTTCAACAGTACTATTAAGTACTGGTAGTGCATTAACTTTTAATTTTAATTTTGAAAGGAGGTATTTGAGACCTCCATTTTCTCCAGATCATCCTCTAGTTCTTCAATAATTTCACAGGATTCCTCTATGGAGACCTCTGCTGGTAGATTGAAGTACCGCTGTTTTAATTCATCCAATGATCGCTTTATTCCTGATAACGATTGCAATTTCACTTCTAAAAGTGATTCACTTTCTTCATTTTCGACGAAGTAACGCAGAGAGTGTTCCAGTTTTGTGACTTTTGTCTTTAGACAACCGCACTGCCTGTTCAGAGATATTATACAGTCAAAAGTCGTTAATTCGGAAACGTCGGGACTTCGGCGATTCCGGATTATCGATTTTTCTGGATTATAGATCATCAGTTTAAATCTTGTAAGATGGCATGCAGAAATTCTAAAATTAAGAATATGAAACCATAATTTATGAAATAAAGAACAATTATGATCTAAAGGGTATCAAAATTTACAAAAAAAAGCTTAATATTTATTTGTTTACTTTATTAAACATTTCTTTCAATGTAAGTTGTTTAAGTTGCTTCATTTTATGTGATAATACTTTCTCTTTAATTCTATAAACAGACATAATTTCTTGTTCAGTTACAAAGTTTCGCTGTTCAAGTCCCGTTAATTGCTGTGCCGAGAATACCGACTAACTTGTCAATCTAAATTTTTTCGTTTTCACTAACCTCTCTGTCACATTCTTCATGTCTTTATCCATTTTTTGGAGCAATTCCTCTTTTTATTTGTTGGATGTTGAAACATACTTTCGTTTTGTAGATCCTTTGAAAGTTCCAGCATCGGAAATTCTATTTGACATAATCAAAAGTTCAAGTTTACTTTTATAAAATTGCTTTTACAGTCTGCAAATAATAATAAGCGGGATCCAATTCGAAGATTAAGAAAACAACGCAATCATTAACATTAACTGAAATAGATAATTAGATAATTTTAGCTTACACCGTCCGTTATACATTAAACGCGCAGGCGAAAACGTATTCTGCACTTGCGCACACGCATATGCGCAGTAGTCAAGGTCTCACGCGCACGCGTAAAACGCCTGTGCGCATGTGCCAATGCGGCGCATGCGCAGAAAGTTTTTAGCTTTGAGGTCCGGATTATAGATCATTCCGGATTATGGGTGTTCGAATTAACGACTTTTGACTGTATTATCCATAGTTGCTGTTCTTTCTTCGGGTCGGTTAGGACCAAAATGCTGATAGCAATTGGTAGTTGTGGACTGTATATTAATTCATAAAAGACAAGTTGAGAAACTTAACAACGTTTATTTTCTTACAAGCACAATAATGCCGCTTAAACGGGCAAAGAGTAAGGAACAATTAACAATTTACTGCCACTTTGTTCGGGCAGAGGAACGGAGACTCGGTGTGGACCGAGTGCATCCCTATCGCTTACTGATTAGTACTGGGCACTCGCTACTGACATTACGTGGTGCTGCAAAAGTTAAGCCAGTACAAATAGACAGAAATATTCTAACCGAGACGGAACATATGGTATATAAAAATTGTGTCCGAATAAGCAATTAAAACACAACTTCAAATCTTTAGAACAGCCATTTTCGTTTATTTTTAAGAATAACAATGGTAAATTTAGTATACATTATATAAATAGTCTCGCAGACGATGTGTTAGTGAATTGCAGCACAAATAAAAAAATTTTAAACACACCCCACCTGTACTCTGTTAAGAGTATATTAAATATTAACAAGAAATCAAATACAACACAAATTAATAAGTATAACACAAATTCAACTGTCATGATACAAATACAGTCAAAAGTCGTTAATCCGGACTCGTCGGGACTTCGGCGATTCCGGATTATCGATTTTTCCGGATTATAGATCATCAGTTTAAATCTCGTAAGATGGCATGCAGAAATTCTAAAATTAAAAATACGAAACTGTAATTTATGAAATAAAGAACAATTATGATCTAAAGGGTATCAAAATTTGCAAAAAGGAAAAGCTTAATATTTATTTGTTTACTTTATTAAACATTTCTTTCAATGTAAGTTGTTTAAGTTTTGCTTTGTTTCATGTTATAATACTTTCTCTTTAATTCTATTAAACAGACATAATTTCTTGTTCAGTTACAGAGTTCCGCTGTTCAAGTCATATAATTGCTGTGTCGAGAACACCGACTAATTTGTCAATCGAAATTTTTTCATTTTCACTAACCTCTGTCACTTTCTTCGCTATCGGAAGCGAATTATAATGACGAGGAACTTGTTTTAAATCATATCAAAGACGGAGCACATCGAGATGAAATACTAATTTGGTAAGGAATTATAAGCCAAATAAAATAAAAACATCTGCTCTGAAGATAAGGATAGTGCTGACAGATCAACTTCCAATTCATTATGCGCCCGCTGCGGCGTTCCCCCCGCCGAGCAGCGTGAAATTGATAAACAGATTTCGGATTTCAAAACATACTTTCGCTTTAGATCCTTTACATATTAACAAATATATATAGGAAATTCTGTTTGATATAATCGAAAGTTTAAGCTTACTTTTATAAAATTGCTCTTACAGTCTGCAAAAAATAATAAGCCGGATCCAATTCGAAAATTAAGGAACAATGCAATCATCAACATTAACTGAAATAGATAATTAGATAATTTTAGCTTATACATCCATTATACATAAAACGTGCACGCGAAAACGTATTCTGCATTTGCGTACACTCATATGCGCAGTCGTAAAAG